TTCATGAACTGATTTCGTTTTTCAGATGCCAAATGGTTGTAATACCTCAGCTATGACATGGAAATAGTGGGGCTGGTGGAGAGAGCGTGTTCCCTCTTGGTGACCTTGAACAGTCCTTGTGCTGGACAGAGGGTTCTCCCAACTTGAACAACTATCAGAACACCCCAGAGGGATTGTGAAATGCAGATGGCTGAGACATCATAACCCGGGAGTTTTTGATTCCATAGATCTGGGGGTGGGGCCCAAGTATTTCTAATTCTAAGAAGTTCCCAGGTGATATTGCTTGCCGCTGGTCTGGGGACAACATTTTGAGAACCACTGTACTAGAAATCAGGCCAGGTGCAGTGGCTCACGGCTGTAATCCAGCACTTTGGAAGGCCAAGGAGGGCTGATCACTTGCGGTCAGGAGTTTCGAGACCAGCCTGGCCAACATGGTGAAACCCCATCTCTACTAAAAAAAAAAAAAAAAAAAAAAAAAAAATTAGCTGGGCGTATGGCGGGCGCCTGTGTCCCAGCTACTCAGGAGGCGACACAGATAATTGCTTGTACCCGAGGAGGGAGAGATTTCAGTGAGCGAGATCACAGTAAGTAGTACACTCCAACCTGGGCGACAGAGTGAGACTCTATTCAAAACAAACAACAAAAACAAAACTAACCCAAAGTTTTCTGGAATCCTAGACACTGGTTAGTCTTGTCCTGTCTGGCCAAATCTTATATTTTTTCTATATCTTAGAATAGTATCTATTTTGATGAAAAGTGGTACAGTTTTCCCGCCTTTGAAGGGAAGAAAGAATTGTGAATTACATTTCATATGTATGTAGCTGCTTTCATAATTGTTTTTGACGAGTTCTCACAGCTACAATTTTCTTTTTCCTACTGAGGCAGTTCAGTGGATAGTGCATGTACTAACCTTTTTCTCCAGCAGGTGATGGTGTAATTACATTCTAGCTGTACTTATCTGCATTTTTTTTCTTTGAATTCATCCTGTTCTCTTTAATGGTCTTATTCTTTTTGTTTTGTTTTTCTTTTTGAGACAGGATCTCTCTTTTGTCACCCAGGCTGAAATGCAGTGCATGATCACAGCTCACTGAGCCTTGACTTCCAGGCTCAAGCCATCCTCCTATCTCAGCCTCCTGAGTAGCTGAGAACTACAGGTGTGTCTTACCAGCCACACAGCTAATTATTTATTAATTTTTATTTATTTATTTATTTTGAGACGGAGTCTGACTCTGTCGCCTAGGTGGAGTGCAGTGGCACGATCTCAGCTCACTGCAAGCTCCACCTCCAGGTTCACACCATTTCCTGCCTCAGCTCCCGAGTAGCTGAGACTACAGGTGCCCATCCCCATGCTGGCTAATTTTTGTATTTTTAGTAGAGAGGGGTTCACGTGTTTTTTTTTGAGATGGAGTCTCGCTCTGTTGCCCATGCTGGAGTGCTGTGGCGTGATCTCGGCTCACTGCAACCTCTGCCTCACAGGTTCAAATGATTCTCCTGCCTCAGCCTCCCGAGTAGCTGGGATTACAGGCATGTACCACCGTGCCTGGCTAATTTTGTATTTTTAGTAGAGATGGGGTTTCACCATGTTGGCCAGGTTGGTCTGAAATTCCTGACCTCAGGTGATCCACCCACTTCGGCCTCCCAAAGTGCTGGGATTACAGGCATGAGCCACTGTGCCCAACCCCAACTGATGAACTCTGATCTCAGCTTTAAGAGGGCTCCGTCAACCCTGGGCAGTTTAACTGCTGGCCAAGGAAACAAATACATAGATAGGTGGTGGTTCCATAAGGGTTAAAAAAGAAAGAAAAGTAACCCTGAGTGGGCTTGTAGACTTAAGCCCTGGAGAATAAAGGGTGTCCTACACTGTGCCCTCCCCAGGAGTGTAGAGGAAAGATGTCCTATACCTGTAATGCTATTAGTCGCTTTAGCAGCTCAACCTTCTCCTGGTCTTCAGGATGCTCCTGCAAGTACTTTTCTGTAAAGAAAGCCTAAAAGCAGAACATATGCAAGTATTAATTAGAACACATTCCTACCTGTGCAGGAAAGCCTGGAAGGGTGAAGCATGTATCCTGTGCTGAAGAACCAGGTGTGTCTAACTAAAAATGCATCCCTTTCCTGGGATAGCACTTACACTATGTTGGGCAATGCAAAAAAGTATGTGCTATTGTGTGGTCTTTCCTTTATTAGCAAATTCTTAGCAAGACTACATTCTTGACAGTCACCAGCCCACCACACATACACACACACCAAATAATCATCATCAACAACGCAAAATGTCATTCATTAAAATAACTTTCCCAAAGAACAAAGCAAAGGCGAAATGGCAATATCTCAAGGCTAACCATTAAATTAAGTGCACAGATATTATAAGGGAAAGAGTAATAAGTTTAAAAACAGGAGATGGAGGTGATAGGGTTTCTGCTCTTCCCGTGATATTGGCTATATCACGCTTTTTTCCTATATTAAGTGAAAGTTAGTATCTGCACTTTCTTACTAATCCCCTATCCTAAATGCTATTTTAAAAAGAAAGTGAGATATAGATGTGAAGACATTTCAAAAATATTAAATTCTGGTTGCCCTTATCATTACATATCAGCACCATGCTTATCAGTAAACACTCATGACCCCCCAGCTAAGTCCCTGTAACAGGTATATAAGACCCAAACTTAAATTCCAAACACAGGCCTTATATAGGGTACTGTTTTAAAGATAGAATTCATCAGGAAAGAGAAACAGAGGTTCGCATCAAACGTTTCCGACAGGGTCGAAAATAGGAGTGACATCTTTTCTTCCCAGACCTTCACATTCATTTCTGAAAGTGCTTTCAAAGACCAGCCTTCAGATTCCCCTTCAGTCTTCTGCTTTAATGCTATGAAAGCCAAACCCCCCATTACATAAAACCAAGAGCTCCTGGAACTACAGGACAGACTTACAAAAGTGAACGACCTTTTTTGGTGCCAAACAAAGTATGTGCAAAGCCTACCTTGTAAGCAGACATCAAGGGTTGACTTATGTCCCCCCAAACTTCCTATGTTGAAGTCCTAATGCCTGGTACCTCAGAATGTGACCCTATTTGGAAGCAGGGCTGTTGCAGATTTAATGAGTTAAGGGGAGGTCATACATACTGGAGTAGGATGGGCCCTTAAGCCCGTATGACTGATGTCCTTATAAAAAGGGGAAATTCGGAGACAGAAGTGCAAACACCGGGAGAACACTATGTGAAGTGATGCAAGAAGATGGCCATCGACAAGCCACGGAGGAGCAGCCTCAAGTCACGGAGCACCAAGAAGACACCAGAAGCCAGGAGGAGAGACATGGAACGTTCTTTCACACATCCTTGCAAGGAACCAACGCTGTGACACCTTGATTTCAGACTTCTTGCTCATGGAACAGTGAAACAAGAAGTTTTTGTTGTTTTAAGCCACCCAGTTTGGAGAACTTTGTTACAGCAGCCCTAGCAAACTAATACAACAGTGAATATGAATATATGTGGAACAATTACCACAAAAAGAAGCATGACAATATAATACATTAGCAAAACAGCTCGTTCTAGCCAGGATCGTATTTACAGGGACTGTCAGCATAAATGAAAAAGGAGTATTTTACTTAAGTTTTCACTGACTTTTACCTTTCAAATACAAGCACTTGAAATTTTTGAAAGTTACAACAATTTTTTTTTGGCTAAATGGTAGAACACATGGAAGTTCCCAAAGTATTGGTCAGATCAGGGACCACTGGAGCAGAGTGCCCTGAAATTCATTTTTCTAGCAGAGTTCTGCCTCAGAACAGAAAGGTGAGATAAATTACAGCACACAGCTCCTGTGCTCTTATCACTTTGGCAATGAATAAAGAGCTGGATTAGAATAGTTCACCTACATCAAACATGTAATGATGGGCTTCCCAACTGATTGCAATACATCATGGTGATTAACGAGTTTACTTTTTTCTTACTTTTAGAAATGTGCAGTCATACATATTAACTAAATGAATACATTAGTATTTTAAGCCAAAGGTCCTGAAATGTATGTACACATGTATGTATTTATCCTTGCTTTTCGTTCATTTTAATTAGAACACTGTTACACTGGAAAAACTTCATATGACATTACGTATCATTCACAGATATTGGCGTATATAAATCTGTGATGGGGGTATTCTGTAAAAATCAATACTTAGAAAAAATACACGAAGATTAGTACCAATGAGTACATATGAAAAAGTACACACTGAAAGCATCAGAGTATTTAAGAAGTAGTGTATATTAGATCCTATTTTCATATGGACTGCCATTGTAACACTGGATATTATTATAGCTCCTAACACGGACAAACTAGAATTTGTCTCTGGTGTTGAGCCTTTCCCAGCTGCTGAATATAATAAGGCTAGAGAAGGCTGAGAGGCTGAGAAAAATGACAAGAAAGAAGATGATTATAGTGGCAGCCACAGAGCACAGACGTCACCATCCATGAAGAACATTCCAATTACACCGTCTGCTCCAAGTAGGCAGGAGGAGGCAGGAAGAAAACCAACACTGGTGAAGCCTCAACTCTATGCCAAGCACTGTCTGACGTTTCTTCTATACAGGAGGTCTCCCTTAATCTTCCCATCCATCCTGTGATCTATCTTGTAAGTCAGGTATTTTTCTTTTCTTTTCTTTTCTTTTTTAAGATAGAGTGTTGTTCTGTCGCCCAGGCTTGGAGTTCAGCGGGGCAATCTTGGTTCACTGCAGCCTTTGCCTCCCGGGTTCAAGCAATTCTCATGCCTCAGCCTCTCCAGTACCTGAGATTACAGGCGCCCGCCGTGATGCCCAGTTAATTTTTTAAAATATTTTTATTAGAGACAGGGTTTCGCCAAGTTTGCCAGGCTGGTCTTGATCTCCTGGCCTCAGGTGATTCTCCTGCCTCGGCTTCCCAAAGTGCTGGGATTACAGGCATGAGCCAATGTGCCTGGCCAAGTTAGGCACTCTTCTCACTTTGCAGATATACGGAGCTCAGAGAGGTGAAGCATGTTGCCAGGAGCACACAGTGGCCAATGGGAAGCCAGAATTGAGTCCTGGGAGCAACTAAGTGCAAAGTTCCTGCTCTTCCCAGGACACACACACACACACACGGACACACACACGGACACAAGAGTGCCACACAGTTAATGTCGCTCACCCTTCCCCTCTGGCTCCTTTAATTTCTACCCACTCTCCAGGCGGCTCCACAGGGGTGTCCTTGCCAAATGGTGATTTAGATCCAAATAGTTTATATTCAAAAAATATTTAGCCACTGAAAACATACCACAGCAATGAAAAATTCTGCCACCATTAATTATACTTAACATACACTGAATCCATGATGTGTATTTTAAATGCTGTTACATCCTAAACCTATGCCATGGATTAAATTGTGCTGAGTACTGCTTTCATGTCTCAACTAAGAATACTTAGCTGAACTAATTTAATTGTAGAGTCAGGGCCATCAGTTGTCCATACAACCTCTGGCACACCAAGTCAGGCGGGGGTCCTAGAAGCTAATTCTGCCGCCCAGGCTGGAGTGCAGTGGCCCAGTCTCGGCTTACTGCAACCTTTGCCTCCAGGGTTAAAAGTGATTCCCGTGCCTCAGCCTCCTAAGTAGCTCGGACTACAGGCGTGCACCACCATGCCTGGCTAATTTTTGTATTTTTCGTAGAGACGGGGTTTCACCATGTTGGCCAAGATGGTCTTGAGCTCCTGACCTCAAGTGATCCACTCACCTTGGCCTCCCTAAGTCCTGGGATTACAGGTGTGAACCACTGGGTCCGGCCCCTAGAAGCTAATTCTAAAGAGAGTGTGGCTCTGCCATCCCCAGAGATGCTGCTCCATTTCCAGTGCATCCTGGGTTCCGGGGTCCACCCATTAGCGTGTAAACCCTCAGGGGAGACAGAATAACAGGTGCTTTGACCAGAGGCATGTTGGTTTTTTTTCTGTGACGCTTTACTAGGCAATGTACTATACCAGTTGGGTTGCAGACAGTCTCTAAGAAGTCAGGGACAATCGTTTCATTCACTTTACTTGCCAGAAGGGAAAGTGAACATTTCTTAGAGCAGCTGTAGGAAATGAATTTGTCGGTGGCAGATGGCACAGAGGAAGGCACACAGACACCCAGGTCTGTGAATCCCTAGGGGGTTCTGGGACCAAGCGAACCTTTTCATAGTTGGAGAAGCCCCCCATGACAGCCGGGTCCACGATGCCACTGAGCAGCATGGAGAGGGGGTGCACAGAAAGGGACCGGTCCCAGGCGTGCTGTTGAACACAGTTGCTGATCCTCTCATTGGTCAGCTCCATGGTTTCGATGGCATTCTCCAGAGGACTGATCTCCTCCTGAGTGACAAAGCACATGGGAGAAAAAGGACACTTGTCAGCTCCAAGTAAAGAGTGAAGAAAGTTTAACTCTTCCCTTGAAGAGGTATAAAATATCCACAAGCTACAGAAAAGGAAAGATTTGCTTGTCAAGGTTAGTCTTATAGCAGGGGTCCCAAAACCCCAGGCCAGTATCCGTCCGTGGCCTATTAGGAAACAGGCCACACAACCAGAGGTGAGCGGCAGGTAAGTGAGGGAAGCCTCATCTGTATTTACAGCCATTCCCCATCACTCGCATTACAACCTGAGCTCCGTCTGCTGTCAGATCAGTGGTGGTATTAGATTTTCATAGCACTGCAAACTCTATCATGAACTGCACATGCGAAGGCTCTAACTAGATTGCACCCATCTTATGAGAATCTAATGCCTGATGATCTGTCACTGTCTCCCATCACCTCTAGAAGGGACTCTCTAGTTGCGGGAAAACGAGTTCAGAGCTCCCACTGATTCTACATGATAATTATTTCATTATGTATTACAATATACTAGTAATACAAATACAGTGCACAATAAATGTAATGTGCTTGAATCATCCCCAAACCATCCCCTATCGCCCAATACCCCCGACCTTCCCACCCCAGGTCCACAGAAAAATTGTCTTCCAGGAAAGCAGTCCCTATGTCAAAAAGATTGACTGCTAGCTTATAAGGACACCACCATTTTTTGGAATAGTGGTAAGATACAAAATAAGCTATTTAAAATCTCCTTACAAAGTAGAATGATGACTTAAACATGGGAGCCATGGTAATGATTATTCCATGGATGAAATGTCTACAGAAAATTTGAGAAGAAAAGAACTGGACCTGTAGTAAGAATCATTTCCTATGCAACACTTCCTTGGAGACTTTTGAGAAGATCAATGACAAGAGAATAGCAGGATATCAGATCTGAGTCACTTCTGCACCACCAAGAATGTCCACTGGCAAAATGTTTGATGCTTCCTCCATGAAAGGAGGTAAGTGATCTCGAAGGCCATGCATTCAGACCATACATAGTATGAATTCTATGGTTATCAGACATCAGAAATAATCGGATGTATTAGAATATACAGGCTGAATTTTGAATGAAAAGAAAATGAGACACAGTACAAATTCAGAGAGTTCTTCCTATGGAAATGTCTACAAAATCAGGTTTCAAAAAACAAGTATCTCCTTCTTCATTTTACCTATTATCAGTCAACATGACCTCCTATTCCAGACTTTATTCCAAAAGTCTCCATCCAGAAATCATATCCATAACTGAGGAATAATGTCTAAATTGTTTTTCTTTTAGAGACAGGGTGTCACTCAGTTGACCAGACTGGAGTGCAGCAGTGCAATTATTCATAGCTCACTGCAACCTCCAACTCCTGGGCTCAAGCCATCTTCTTACCTCAGCCTCCCAAGTAGCTAGGATGACAGGCACATGCCACCACACACAGCTATTCTTTTTGTAGAGGTGGGGGTCTTGCTATATTGCCCAGGGTGGTCTTGAACTCCTGAGCTCAAGTGATCCTCCCACCTTGGCCTTCCAAAGTTCAGGGATTACAGGCATAAGCCACTGTACCTAGCCATGACTTATAACACATTGAACTTCAGTTGAGATTTGTTCAAGAAACATTTCTTGAACACCTACTTTAGGCTAAGTGTCATGCTATGCACCACAGATACAAAAGTGATTAAGATGTACGTACTTCATGGCTTGGAGAAGCTGATGGTGTTAGTGGGGTCTCAGGACATGTAAACATGGTAGGTAAGAAACACGCCCAGGGTGCCACAGGGGACAGACAAAAGGCAGGTCACCCAATTTGGGTGTTCCAGAGATGGATTCATTGAGAAGCTGGTGCCTAAACTGAACCTTGATGGGAGTTATTTAGGTGCAGAAATTGCAAGAGTGTGTTTCAGGCAGAGAAAACGATCCAATGTCACGGAGGACTGAAATTAGCACGGGATGAGCAGTACGGTTCCAATAGATTGCCTAGGAGATGAGGCAGAAGAGTTAGGCCATGTGTGTGTGTGCTAAGGAGGGCAGGCTTTATACTCCAGGTACTTGGGGCCATGGAAAGGCTTTAAGCATGAGAATGGATAAAATGGTGAGATTTCCTTAATGGAATTCCCACTGAGGCAGTGAGGTAACTGGATCTGAGAAGGTCATGAATGGCAGGCAGGCCAATGAGGAGGTGGGAAATAAAACAGATTTAATCAATACTAAACAGGTAAAATAGCAGCTTTTGGGAGAGATGAAGAGGGAGGAGTCTAGGGTGATTGGGGATGTGATTAGCGGAGAATAAAAGAACAGGCTTTGGGAGGGAAGATGTAATTGACAGGAAACTCCAAGCGGCATTCCAAAAATGTTTCTGGGTGCTGGCAGGATCGCTGAGCAGACACCACTGCTCTGGACATAAAAGAGTCATTCACTGTGAGTGACCTTTTAGGGCTGGTGTTGTCACATCAGTTTTACAAAGGAGCTCTATTATACAAGCATGCCTTTTATTTCTCTTTTGAAAAACAAAGTTGGCCAGAGGAGGCTGGCCAAACTGGTGTGAACTGCAGAGGGAATTCAACAAAGGCTGTTATTATATTTGGAGACAGAAAGTTTTTTTCTAAGTGCCAATTTCAAATGACTCACTGTTGAAATCTGTTTGACTTCAAACCACTTGAGAATCCCAGGAAAGGTATATGCAGTCGTATACGTGGTCCGTTCAATCCACATCGTCTGGTGGCAAAGGAAAACATGAAATGTTGGTCAATTCCCAGGAGGAAAACATGAAATGTTCGTCAATTCCCAGGGAAAATAGCAAAACTCCCTGGGGTTCAGTTAAGTGAGATTCTATTCTCAAATGCCTCATAGGGAATGAGCCAAATTTTCTCATAAAATTCACAGATCCTGGATGTTTAAAGCTGAAAGGGATCATCTACTTGGGACTTCTCACCCTACAGAGGGAAATGTGAGGTCTAGAGAGGTACGACTAGCCCAAGGTCATTATGAGCAGCAGGCCCAGGAAGAGTCCAGATTCTGGACTCCTAGTCAAGCATTTTCCATGGAGATGACAGCTGGCTGTCTAGGTAATTAGCACTTGCTGTCTAAGTAATTAGCAGGTGAAGCCTCTATTCCCAGGGGTGCCATCGTTTCTCCTGTGGAAGCTGGTTAGGTAGGTGGAAGACCTCCACCTGGGATGCCAATTTTACCTTTTTTTTTGAGACAGAGTTTCGCTGTCACCCATGCTGGAGTGCAGTGGTGCGATCTCGGCTCACTGTAACCTCTGCCTCCTGGGTTCAAGCAATTCTCCTGCCTCAGCCTCCCGAGTAGCTGGGACTACAGGTGTGTGCCACCATGCCTGGCTAATTTTTTGCATTTTTAGTAGAGATGGGGTTTCACTGTGTTAGCCAGAATGGTCTCGATCTCCTGACTTCGTGATCCACTGGCCTCGGCCTCTCAAAATGCTGGGATTACAGGTGTGAGCCACTGTGCCCAGCCCATCAATTTTACCTCTTAAGGGACAAAAGGGGTGAACTCACAGCAAATTCGTTGTCTGGATCCTTTTCTCCTTTCCGGAACGGCCGGGAGTATCTGAACTGCTGCACTTCATTGGCTCTGTAGTAGCTGGAGAAGGACAAAGCAATGCTGTATTTTCTCTCTTAGAACAACCACTCCTCGACTTGACTTCAACAAAACCTATAACACATCTGCCTGGTCTGAGTTTTACCCACTAAGCTATCTCATAATCAATAATGCCTCCACATGAAGGCCTGAGAAAGTACACAATTTGATTTTATTTCACACCTTACTTTTATATTACTTAGGAATTTATTTCACAGCACACAATTTTATTTATTTATTTTATTTATATTTATTTATTTATTTATTCATTCATTTTGAGTCAGAGTCTCACTCTGTCACCCAGGCTGGAGTGCAGTGGCGCAATCTTGGCTCACTGCAGCCTACACTTTCCAGGTTCAAGTGATTCTCCTACCTTAGCCTCCCGAGTAGCTGAGATTACAGGCACGCACCACCACGCCTGGCTAATTTTTTTATATTTTTAGTACAGATGGGGTTTCACCATGTTGGCCAGGCTGGTCTTGAACTCCTGACCTCAGGTGATCCACCCGCCTCAGCCTCCCAAAGTCACAGCACACAATTTTAAAAGGTATATGTGGCCAGGTGTGGTGGCTCACACTGTAATCCCACCACTTCGGGAGGCAGAAGTGGGAGGATCACTTGAACTCAAGACCAGCCAACCTGGGCAGCACAGCAAGATCCCATCTACACACACACACACACACACACACACACACACACACACACACAGAGCCAGGTGTGGTGGTGTATGTCCCAGCTACTCAGGAGGCTGAGGTGGGAGGGAGGGTCTCTTGAGCCCAGGAGTTTAAAGTTGCAGTGAGCTATGATCGTGACACTGCATGCCAGCCTAGTTGACAGCAAGACCCTGTCTCTTAGTAGGCGGACTGCCTGAGCTCAGGAATTTGAGACCAGCCTGGGCAACACGGTGAAACCCCATCTCTACTAAAATACAAAAAATTAGCCAGGCGTGGTGGCATGCACCTGTAATCCCAGCTACTCGGGAGGCTGAGGCAGGAGAATTGCTTGAACAATCACGCCACTGTACTCCAGCCTGGGTGACAGAGCAAGACTCCATCTCAAAAAAAAAAAGGTATATGCACTCACACATACGTTTGTGATCTCATTAGTCTAGTTTTATAACAGTTCTATCAACACCATTAGCATTTGGCTCTTCAAGACAAGGAATGAGCCCCTCCATCACTGGGGACCAGCCACTCCTCTGTGATGCTTTTGGGTGAAAATAAAAGCTCAGGGATCTGAAACCCAGGCATGAAAGTTCTGATTTTCCTCTGCCTAAAAAAAAACAAAACCCCCACATCCCTTTGTATTAGCAAGCTTTTATCTTACACTCAAAGAAGAATAGACAGTAGGTCTTGCAAACTGTAATAAATGTAAGGCTTTGGTTTTGATGTACTCCAAACAAGTGTGAGGGAGAGACAAACTTCTCTTTTTTGTAGAGACAGAGTCCCACTTTGTTGCTCAGGCTGGTCTCAAATTCCTGGCTTCAAGCAATACTCCTCCTTTGGCCTCAGAAAATGTTGGGATTACAGATGTGAGCCACTGTGCCTAGACACAGATTTTTTCTTTTAAATGAAAAACCACTTACTTTAGGATCTGCTCCGGAACCGGTTTATCCTTGTAGCTGGGCGGCAAGCTCATCACTGGCTTTACGGTGAAGCACTGCATGTCTGAGGAACTTGTTAAGGAAAAGAGAGGGGCTGGGGCTGCGAAGTTGTCAGATACCAAAGGCCCCTGTTCTTCCTGCTTCGCAGCCGGAAATGCCACCAGCACCGATCACTCCCTTTGACCCAAATGCCAGGACCACATTGAAAATGAAGTTCCTTTGTGTATCACCGAAATGCCTTATTCAGTGATTACAATTAATCCTAGGGTCCTTTTTTTTTTTTTTGGTCAGACATCTGGCAAACAACCCTTGCCATCGGGAAATAGACTTCAATGCAATATCAGGAAACAGGTGCTTACAAATGGATTCAAACAATTTCTTGGGACAAGCATCCCCTGAAATCACCAGACTCAGAGCCCAGGCAACAGGAATTGCTTATATCTTTGGATCCCATCTGTTTATCCAGTGCCATAGTTGGGCACAGTGCTAGGTATTTTGAATGTTATCTCTAATACACAACAACAACTCTATGAGAGGGATATTATTATTCTCTTTTCACAGATGGAGAATCTGAGGATAAGAGAGGCTAAAATCCAACATCACACAGCTGGTAAGTGGTCAAGTTAGGCTTCAAAAGCAGCTCAAGAGTAAGCGCTCCTGCTCTGATTTAATGATCATGTCTTAGAAACTCTTAGCTCCCCAACCCACCAGGACAGAGATACTGTTTCAAAGTCTACAACAGAATCCAGAATTCAGAATAGGAAGTCTATGTTCCACTTAAGCACTCCATCTGGCTAGGAAGTGTATTTCATATCCGTCACTTGTCTATTACCTCTCCTGTTTTGTTACATCATCACCACCAGCTAATGCTATGAGGGTCCCAAAGATTTTACATGGAATGGGAAACTGCGTCAGAATGCTTCAGAGGATCGTCTGTCTGCAGAGAAGGGACTGTAGCTCCTATCTTCTCTGGCTTAGCTGGGGCTGTGCACAGCCATAAGAGCCTCGGGCCATATTCCCCATGGGAAGGATACACTGCTTGGGGGAGGACTTGATGTCTTCCCCAGGAGGCGTGGTGCTGGTCATCTTCTCCGCATTGGGGAACTGGGTTAGCAACCTCAGGCTGAAGTCCTCTCGCCTCTCATACTCCTTTCCCCGGTAGATGAAGATTTTATTCTGCAGGTGAGAGACAGCAAGGGAAGTCATCACACAGGACGAGTGAAGAGGCAACTGGAGTTCCGGGTACTGAGGGAGCCATTGCGCTCCCCAGTCAAGGTTCAATCCACACCATCAAGTTCTCATTGAATATCTAGTCCGTTCCTGACAGCAACTGTCTTATCTTATAAGAGCTGCGGTTTATTTGAGAAGTTAAATCACAGGCATAAAAAATACTCAGCCCGGTGCTGCTTCTGGTGTGGCCCAAGGACCATGGCCAGTCTGCAAACAGTTTGGACCCCCATCTGCAAGGAAATAAGGAACTTGTGCCCTCATGTAAATCAATGACATCACCAAGCATGCTGATATTTTCATGGCAAGACATTCTTAAGGAAGGAAGGAAGTGCATTAATTTACATAGAGGTATAAACTCTTTGTCGATCTCATCATGATCCAGTAACAGTTTGTGGACCAGCATTTAAACAGCACAGCCTCAGAGAATGAGGAGAAGGAACGTGCCTTCTGGCACAGAAACAGAGTCACAGAGAACAGAAGCAATGTAACGCAGTCCCCAGCCAATCCTGAAAGTCTGAGAGAAAATCACCGCATTAAATACTATTTTCTCCACTCTAGACTGTAAATATAATCTCTTTAATCAAATTTTTTTTCCCCAAGAGATTTCCTAGGCCGCAGGCATGGGAGTAATTTGTCTCACAGGTGTGACTGCCTGGGCAAGTGCAAACATAGCCATGTTCGAAATGAGCAGTTTGCACTGGCAGCCCACACATGATTCATTTTTAACCAAGGCTTGGGCCCAGGTTGTCTTGTAAAATGTCTTTGAAACTCACTTGTCCATTCACATAACAAACATGTGTTGTGCAAACAGAAGATCAGTCAGACAACAGGAATACAATGGTGATCCTGCTCTCACAGAATTACCTTCTAGAGGAGAGAATAAAAAACAAGCAAGTAAATAAATAAGTAAACCTGATAGTGTAAGTACCGTGAAGGCAATTACACTTTTCAGGCAAATACTGAATGAAGGGAGTAAAAACTACTGGATCTTCTGGAATACATGATAAAACTTTTCCAAGCTAGGAAAAATCTATGGGACTCAAGCCTGTTGAAATTCCATCATTCAGGCGAAACAACGGTGGGCAAAGGATCAGAGTGTAATACAACGCTAGTTGTATGATGCAGACGATAACTATAAAAGGAATCAAAGCAGGTCAGGAAGAATTAGCTTGGCTGGAAACAGAAGGCTTCAAAGAAGACACGGGCCTTAGATAGGCATAGACAGATGAATGGGAAAAGGAAGTGTAAAGAGAAGGAGTGAGAAGGGCCAGGCGGGTACGTGGAAAGGGTCAGGCCCAGGGGTGGAAAGCACAGAGTCCTGGGAGAAGACATGAGCCTGGCCTGGAAGAATGAGCCAGAATATGAATGATCTTGCATGGCAGGTAGAGGTTTCAAAGACTCGGAATGTTCACTGGAGGTTCTGGAAGGCAGGAGCCGCATGATGAAAGAAGAAGTGTAGACAATGTAAGCCAACGGTGGCATCTATGTCCAACTGAAGGCTCACAGGCTGGACTGCGCAGGAGAAGGAAAAGGAACAGCAGGAGAGAGAGAAGGAAAAGGAACAGCAGGACAGGGAGAAGTAAAAGCATTCAGTGTTTGTCTCTTTGGTGTTGGGAGAAGGGCGAGGAAGATAGGGGAGTTGATGCTGATTCAAAGATCACCAGTTTTGAGCCTGGGCAACACAGTGAGACCCCATATCTAAGAAAAAATAAAAACATTAGTTAGGCGTGGTGGTGCACACCTGTAACCCCACCTCCTCAGGAGGCTGAGGCAGGAGAACTGCCTGAGCCTGGGAGGTCAAGGCTGCAGGCAGCTGTGATTACGCCACTGCATTTCAGCCTGGATGACAGAGCGAGACCCCATTTCTTAAAAAAAAAAAAAAATGTCAGTGGTCTTGGAGTAGGAAGAACAGTGGTACCCTTGACAGAAACAAGAGAGATAAAGAAATCTCACTGGGTTGGAAGGAGAGGATGATGTAATTTTTTATATTCTGAGTTTGGGGAAATATCCCGTAGAAGAGAATGGCAGTGACGTTATATACACTCGTAAGGATTTTATATTCTACCGTAAGTACGCTCTGAGGTATGTTAACATCTATAAACTACCTTACAGTTTATAAAGCACTCCTATATGCTATTTACTTAATTCTCAAAACTTTCCTGTGATGTAGGCATTATTTTTCTAAATTACGCATCAGAAAACCAAGACTCAGTGATTATGTGATTTCACCAAAATCACACACTCGCTCAGCAGGTGATTTAGACTAGAATGCTTCTGACTTAAAGTCTGGTGTTCTTGATTTCACAGAATCACTGCTGTCTCTGTGGTCACATTTCTGATTTCATGCAACACACAGGCATATGTAACGGATGTGGCAGGGCTTGTTCTTTTATGTTGACCTGGATTAAAGCAGAGCTAACACTAGACCCTGATGCATTTTCACCCTACACTCTATTTTTTAATTTTTTATTTTTTCTTTTTTTGAGACAGGGTCTCACTCTGTCATCCAGGCTGGAGTGCAGTGGCTTGATCACAGCTCACTGCAGCTTCTAATTCCAATCCTCAAGCAATCCTCCTGCCTCAGCCTACTGAGCAGCCAGGACCACAGCACATGCTACCATGCCTGGCTAATTTTTAAAAAATTTTTTTGTAGAGACGGGGTCATGCTATGATGCCCAGGCTGGCCTTGAATTGCTGGTCTCAAACTCCTGGGCTCAAGCAAGCCTCCTGCCTTGGCCTACCAGTGCTGGGATTACAGGCACGAGTCACCATGGTTGGTCCCAGACCTTCCACTCTTTATTCTCTTTCCTCTGCCTGGTCCATCTCATCCCCAACCACGGTTATTTTAACTCTATATAAGTAACTCACCAACTTTTATCTCTTGTCTGTAACTTCACTTGAGTTCCAGATCTATACAGCTAATGGTTGACTTGTGCCTTTGGATGTTCCAAATCTACCTCCTCTTGAGTACGTGCAAAATCAAACTTCTGCAAACACTTTAGAAAACCCTGGGAGGTCCTCTGCTATCCGGTACCCACAGCCATCTGCCCCATTCTCCTATACACCCTCTTGTACACACTACTCCAGCCTCATAGCTTTTGGACCTGCTATTCTCAAGGTCTGGGACCCGTGCTCATCCTTTTGATAGCTGCACGGCTTATTCTTTAACTTTTTTCTGGTTTTTGCAAAAAATGTCATTTTCTTTCTGAAGTCTCTCTTGTTTACTCTATTTAAAATTGCAACTCCATCCCCAACATGTGCCTCTCTAGTCTCCTTCCCTAAGTCCTTTTCTCCATGATACTTACTGAATAGCTACACTGTAGAAGGCAGTGTTCTAGGCCATCTGACATACTCAATAGTTTATTCATTTATCTCATTTTCTGATCTCTCCAAGCTGGAACATAAGCTTGATAAATTTCAAGATTCTGGTTTGTTTTGTCTCTGCTCCCATGCCTATATTAGAGCCAAGTACGTGGTAGGAGTTTCATAAATATTTACTCAAGGAATAAATTCATTCTCTCCTCCGTGACTTTGGCCTTTTCCGGTCCTGCTGTCCCAGTAAATAGTTCAACTACCCCCTCCAATGATGCAGGCCAGAAGCCCAGAAATCATTCTTGACAACTCTCGCTTCCTCACCCACACAGCCCATCAATCATCAGACGGCTGTGACCTCATCTCCACCACTCTAGTCTTTCCGCTTCCCTCTAAAGCCACCACCCCCACGTCCCGAGTCTAGCCTGTCATCTCTTTTTTGAACATCTGCAATGGTCTCTTAGTGGTTTATCTGCAGCATCTCCCGTCCATTCTCCATGGATGACCATGGAGACCAAAGCCAGATGACCTTCCCAATATGAAAAATCTGTAGCAGCTCCCACTGCTCTTAGGATGCAGAGAGAACACACCAGGAAACCTCAGGGCTGTGCAGGCTCTTCCAGGGCTCCCCTCCTCCCTGCCGGCACCCCAGCTCTCTCTGTGGCTGCCGCATCGGCCTTTCCTTCCCAGGCACTGCCCTGCTCTTGCCTGCCGCTTCCTCTGCCTGCAATGCTTATTCCTACTCCCTTCACCTGCTCCACTCCCAGCTTACCTTTCAGACTGCAGCTGAAATAGAGGTTCCCTGGAAAGACTTTATCTTATCTTGTCTTATTTGAGACAGGCTGGCTCTGTCGCCCAGGCTGGAGTGCAGGGGCACCATTTCAGCTCATTGCAACCTCTTGCCTCCTGGGCTGAAGTGATTTTCCTGCCTCAGCCTCCCAAGTAGCTGGGATTATAAGTGTGAACCACTGCACCAGACCCTGATTCTTTTTTTTTTTTTTTTTAAACGAAGACATAAGCTGGGCATGGTGGCTCACGCCTATAATCCTAAAACTTTGGGAGGCCGAGGCGGGTGGAACATCTGAGGTCAGGAGTTCGAGATCAGCCTGGCCAACATGGTGAAACCCCATCTCTACCAAAATACAGAAATGAGCCGGGCCTGGTCATGCACGCCTGTAATCCCTGCTACTTGGGAGACTGAGGCACGAGAATGGCTCGAACCCCAGAAGGCGGAGGTTGCAGTGAGCCGAGATCGCACCACTGCACTTCAGCCTGGGTGACAGAGTGAGACACTGTCTCAAAATAAGTAAATAAATAAATAAAAATAAAAAACAATATTAAGACGTAATCTACATACAGTAAAATGGACCCCTTTTTGCGTAAAATTCTGTTAGTTGCGACAAACATAACCAGGACCACAATCAAGATACAGAACAGTTTCACTGCCGCCAAACATTTCCCCAGGCCCTTCTGCAGCCAACCTCCCCCTGACCAGCAACCACTGATCTATTTTCTGTCCTGATAGGAAGTGTTGCCTTGGCAAGAATTTCATATAAATAAAACCACAGAGTATGTAGCCTTTTAAGTCTAACTTCTTTTACCTAGCAAGATGCATGTGGGAATTGTGCCCGCAGTTGTGTGTATCAGGAGCTCACTGCCTTTGGCTGCTGTAGTATTCTGTTGTGTGGAGACACTGAAGTTTGTTTATCACATCACCAGTTCAGGGACACTTGGATTGGATCCTGTCTTTGGTGACTATGATTAAAGCTGCTATAAATATTCCTGTACATTTTTTGTAATAGGGTAAGTTTCTATTTCACTTGGGTAAATATTTCCTGGTTACAGATTCTTATAGCACAGGGTATCTTTCTTGGTTACAGTTTATTTATTTATTTATTTATTTTTGAGATGGAGTCTCACTCTGCCACCCAGGCTGGAGGGCAGTGGTGTGATCTTGGCTCAATGCAACCTCCACCTCCCGGGTTCAAGCAATTCCCCTGCCTTAGCCTCCTGAGTAGCTGAGATTACAGGCATGCACCACCATGCCCAGTTACTTTTTGTACTTTTAGTAGGGACAGCTTTTCAGCATGTTGGTCACACTGGTCTCGAACCCCTGACCTCAAGTGATCCGCCTGCCTCAGCCTCCCAAAGTGCTGGGATTACAGGCGTGAGCCACTGTGTCCGACATGCGGTTTAAATTTTACATTCATGTGTGATTAAAATCTCCCCTCATGAATTTAGGTTGTAAAATCCATGAGGGTAGGGACTATGTTTGACTGTAATCAGCAAAATATTTCTAATGCCTTCTCTATACCTGGCACAGAGTAGATGCTCAATAAATATTTACTGACTGAATGAATAAACAGTGTCTCATCAGGCACTGTTAGGAATGTAAATTGCTTGCTTGATCATTTGTTTTAAAATTAGGAGAAAGTAGATGGAGAATAAATGTTTAAGCAAAGCTCAGCTCTAAAAGAAACTTTTCTTAAGAATTTTTGTTTATTAAACTATAAAATGAGTATCACATTATAGATGATTTTGAGATGGAAGAAAAATACCAACCTTGTCATTATTATTATAACAAAATGTTTTATTTTGGGAAACTCTTGCAGTCTAGTTTTTGGGATACTTACTTTCAAATTAGCTCTAGCTAGAAACACAACAAACAATGAAATACATCACTCCATGCTCTTCCCCGGAGTGACCCACAGCAGCTGACCAGTGCGGGGCATGCTTTTCCCTTTTGCACTGCACCTGGGAAAAGTCATTTCACAAAAGACCTGCCAGAACACCAGGGGTGTCCGGGGGTGTGGGGTCAAGAGGCCAGCCGCTCAGGAAATGCTTTCCCTCCCCTACCTCCCACAGCAAGAGAACACAGGTCGGCAGCTGCTAACATACTGTTGCCCATCTGGAAAAGAAACGAGTTTCTTCCCTCCTCCTAATGGCCTGGGAGACCACCATCAGGTTTCTTACCCGCAGGAAAGAAGGGAAGCCCTGTCCATAGTATCCAACAGCAAAGTACTCAGGCTGAGGCCTCATTGCCTTAATGATGTTCTCATAAAACGAGGCCCTTTTTTTCTGGAAAACAAAACAAAACATTCCAAGGGGAGGTTATAAGGACACGGTTAGGGGGAGAAAAAAGTCAGACCTTGTTTTGTTGTTTCCCATGTAACGCAGAGCAATGAAAGGTCTTTGAAAAACACCCTATTGGGCAGAAAAGGATTATCCTGTTCTCAGATCACAGGTTTTGGACCTGGGCTCCATGAATGGACACTGGAGGGCTGTGACTCCCTGAGGGTGTATGCAGAAGTGTGTGCATGTTTGCATTCTTCTGCGTAACGGGGCAGTGTGCAACTTTTTCAGCAGTTACTCAAAGTGGGCTCAGGACCTATAAAAGGTTAAAAAGTGCATTCTGAGATTCACAGAAGGTGGCTGCACTTAACCAGATAACCATGGGAGAAGATAAAGGACCTTCCAAGGCCAGGCGCAGAGGCTCATGCCTATAATCCTTGCACATTGGGAGGCGCAGGTGGGAGGATTGCCTGAGGCTAGGAGTTTGAGCCCAGCCTGGGCGAAGTAGTGAGACCCCATCTCTACAAAAAATTAAAAAATTAGCCAGCAGCTGAGGCAGGAAGATGTCTTGAGCCCAGGAGTTCAAGGCTGCAGTAAGCTATGACTGCACCTTGCACTCCAGCCTGGGTGACAGAGTGAGACCCTGTTGTGAAAAAATAATAAAAATAAAGAACATTTTTAAAAAGAAGGACCGTGCAGTTCATGCAGTGGTTTGGATGAAAGTGTCTGGTAAGTTATAAGTACCCAGAAGGTGGTGGTGATGCTCTGTTTTTCAGTATCTGCTACCACCTCTATCTTTAATTCTTCACAAGATGAGAGGTCTCCCAGCTTTGGCTCACAAAGTCAGCCTTAAAGTAAGCAAAATAGCCAGCCAGATGTGGGCAGCTGTGAACAATGACGTGAACCCCCTTCGCCCACAATAGTTAGCGTGCCATTTATCTAGGTGACAGTCTCGTCAAAATACTATTTTCTTAGACCAGTAGGTAACATGTTACATTACTAATATTTCAGCTCAGTTCAGTTGATGAAATTATTATTATTACTATTTTTTGAGACAGGGTCTCACTCTGTTGCCCAGGCTGGAGTGCAGTAGCATGATTACAGCTCACTGCAGCCTTGACCTCCCAGGCTCAGGTGATCCTCTCACTTCAGCCTCCCAAAAGTAGCTGAGACTAGAGGAACGTGCCACCACACCCAGCTAATTTTTTGTATTTTTTGTAGAGATGGTGTCTTACTATGTTGCTCAGACTGGTCTGGAAGTCCTGGGCTCAAACAATCCAACTACCTTGGCCTCCCAAAGTTCTGGAATTACAGGCATGAGCCACCGGGCCCAGTCCAGTTCATGAAATTAATACATGAGTTTTTTGCATGTGAAGCCAGGAGCTGGTATAGTACACCAGTAGACTTTTTACAAAGTGATCTTGACATCCAGCTCCTCAAATAATGATCATTTCATGACTATGGGTGACCTGATCTTTTCTAACTCCTCTACTAAAAATTATTAAATTTAATATTATGGTTGCCTAGCATTGGGTATTCAGAATGGTGGCCGCCTACCATGGAGCATTCAGAATGGTGGCTGCCTTCTATCGGGCATTCAGAAGACTGGCTGTCTACCACTGGGCATTTGGAATGGTGGCTGCCTACTGCTGGGGCATTTAGAATGGTGGCTGCCTCCATTGGGCATTCAGAATGGTGGCTGCCTAACACTGGGCATTCGGAATGGTGGCTGCCTCCACTGGGCATTCGGAATGGTTGCTGCCTCCACTGGGCATTCGGAATAGTGGCTGCCTAACACTGGGCATTCGGAATGGTGGCTGCCTCCACTGGGCATTCGGAATAGTGGCTGCCTAACACTGGGCATTTGGAATGGCGGCTGCCTCCACTGGGCATTCGGAATGGTTGCTGCCTCCACTGGGCATTTGGAATGGTGGCTGCCTCCACTGGGCATTTGGAATGGTGGCTGCCTCCACTGGACATTCAGAATGGTGGCTGCCTAACACTGGGCATTCGGAATGGTGGCTGCCTAACACTGGGCATTCGGAATGGTGGCTGCCTCCCCTGGGCATTTGGAATGGTGCTGCCTCCACTGGGCATTCAGAATGGTGGTTGCCTCCACTGGGCATTCGGAATGGTGCTGCCTCCACTGGGCATTCAGAATGGTGGCTGCCTCCACTGGGCATTTGGAATGGTGGCTGCCTCCACTGGGCATTCAGAATGGTGGTTGCCTCCACTGGGCATTCGGAATGGTGCTGCCTCCACTGGGCATTCAGAATGGTGGTTGCCTCCACTGGGCATTCGGAATGGTGGCTGCCTAACACTGGGCATTTGGAATGGTGGCTGCCTCCACTGGGCATTAGGAATGGTTGCTGCCTAACACTGGGCATTTAGAATGGTGCTGCCTCCACTGGGCATTTGGAATGGTGGCTGCCTAACACTGGGCATTCATTTTTGTTTTGCTTTACTGATGTCTGGGAATATGGAGGGTCCACATAAAGAAAAATGGCTTCAGGAAGAATGAGAGAGCTGCAGACAGAGATCTGGAGGGATGTGGAAGCCGAGTCACTATTATCTGAAACTGATATTCCACCACACTGTCGAGGCAACCCCCATTCCACTTCCAGAGATGTCCTGAACCTTCTCTGAAGGATACTTTGTAGAAATATTGATGAGAACCTTTGGACTACATCTTTTTTCATTCTCATTTCAAGCAAAGTTGACTTTTCCATTGTAAAAAAACACCATTCATCCTGACTTTCAACTTACAGAAACATTTTCATGAGCACTAATTTTAGCATCCCTGTCAGAGGCCTAACATATTTTGACCCAGACTCACCAGGAGGTTGCCAAGGCCCTCGTAGTCAAATACTTTGCTTTCGTAAGTCTCGGCCAACTCTTTGCTCAGTTTGATGGCTTTCTCCCACATCTTCAGAAAAAGGAAAGTAGGGTTAAAAGTAGAGAACAAGGTAGTCATTGATCCAGGGGCAAAAGCCACTGGCGAGTCACTGGGAATGAGCAGGTGGTCTGGGGCATTGAGTCTCGGTAGATATTCCTCACTCGCTTTATCCTTTGCATCAATGAAACCTTCATTTCCTGACATCATAGATAGTGTGTATTGGCAGCTTTGCCAGGGGCATCTACTGTAGTTCTGTTTGCAAGGACATTAAGAATAAGTACCATGTGTCCCCCAAAAAAGCAATAACGCGTTTAACAGGCAAAGCACCCACAGCACTTGAAAGTAGAGAGGAGGCAGTGCCAGCCTAGGTTTGGAGAGCATGCAAGTCTTGTTGGAAAGGGAAAGGAAGTTTCCATGGTACTTTGGTTCTGAAATGTGTTTGTGTGTGTGTGTGTGTAGGGGTATGTTTGTGTTTGTATGTGTGTATGGGTGTGTGTACGGGAGTGTGTGGGTGTAGTTATGTTGTTTGTGGAGATGGAAAAAGGCTAACAGTACTGTTGTGTGGAATTTGGCAAACTGTGTTTCCATTCAGGGCACTGATTTCCCTACTTAGTGGATGAGTTTTAGGAAATGCCTCCGAGCATGTATAAAGATGTAAGTTACAGGCTAACGCATGTCCTCAGTGTCTGAGGCTAGCAGCCCAGATTGAGCCTTCTAATCCCTTTGGTATCTCATGAGCTATCTCTTAGACGGATACTATTCAACTCGCAGCATCCGGTCGCCTCCTGCTTCATTCCTGTTCACAAGGTGCTACGTTCCATCGTTTCTGGCTGCTGAAGGAATGTGTGCAGAGCCCACAAGCCATTGTGAAACGCTTCAAAATTAAATCATTTAAAATCACTGTTTGCAAAATCTGTCCCCCTCTGAAATCTCACAATTCAAGCATACGCAAGGAAAGAATAAAGAGTAGCTGTGAGTTACTGTTGTATATTAAATCATGTACCTGGTCTTGGTCCTGAGTTCCAGCGAGGGAGCTCCTAAACCCTTAGAATTTCTCAAGTAATAAAAGTGTCTTTGTGGTTCCTGGTGCCCCCACCCCAGGATCACACCCAAATCTATGCTAATGAGGTGACTCAGGGTGGTCTCCTAGTCTCAGGATGGGGTCTGCCATGCCAGAAGTACTAACCATGTGACTAGAAGGTGAGGACTGTGAGCCACCTGATATCAGCCTGACCTCCAGGCAAAAAAAGGAGGCTAAAGGTCAAGTTCATCATGTAGTTAATGATTCATTCAATCCTGCCTGTATAATGAAAACCCACAGCGGCTCACGCCTGTAATCTCAGCACCTTGGGAGGCCAAGGCAGGAGGAACACTGGAGCCCAGGAGTTCTAGGTTCTAAACCAGGCTGGGCAACTGGTGAGACCCCATATCTACCAAAAAAAAAAAAAGAAACCCCAATAAAAACTCTGTACACCCATGGCTTGGGTGAGCTTCCTGATTGAGGAACACACTGATTTGCTGGGCACGTGTCGCAAGTTCACAGGGGGAAGACACAGAAACCTCGTGCTTGGGACTCTCCCAGACTGTTTCCTATGGGTCCTCTCATTTGGCTGGCCTCAGTTTACATCCTTCCTGATGAAACTGGAATCGTTAAATACAGCACTTCACTGTGTTCTGTTGGTTGTTCTAGCAGACTATGAAACCTGAGGGGACAGTGGAAGCCCCCCAGATGTATAGCCAGTTGCCCAGAACTATGAATGGACTGGGGAACCCCAAACTTGCAGACGGCATCTGAAGTGGGGGCAGTCTCGTTGGAGACGGTGCCCTGAACCTGGGTAGTCGGTGTTAACTCCAGGTGGTGAGCATCAGAATCGTACTGCGATACTGCGGTCATTTTCCTCTTTCCCCGGTACAAAAACAATCCAATACTCACTTTGCCTTTGTCAAAATACGATATGATTTCTTGATACAGCTTCTCTTTAAGCTCTTGCTGGGTATAAACATAGTAACTGTCCCTCTGAAGTAAATGAGGCACACAGGGCTTGTCAGACCACTGAAAAGGAAGAAAAGCAACACATGGTTAATACAACAAATATTCAGCCCTCTAACATCAAGAAAATAGTGCATATATATTTGACTCATTGATTTTGTATTTTAGATTATGTATGAAACACAAAAGTTACATATACACACATGTACACATGCCAGCTCCAAAACAAGTATCATGCCAAACGGATGAGCACCCACAGCATTCCCCTAAAATGCCAGCGACAAAGCAAGGTCGCTAACCGACATGACTGTCGCTGTACTGGGGCATCATTAACTCAGTCAGATAGAAGGAACAAATTAGGAGTCTAAAAATGAATAGGAAGAGGTAAAACTATCACAATTTCCAAACATTATGGCTGTATTCCTCACAAGGCAAGGCAGTTGACTAAGAAACTGCGACACGCAGTAAGAGAATTAAGTTACGCAGCAGGAAAACCAATTAATATACTTGGAATAAAACAGATTTCAGATACATGGAGACTAAATATACAGAAGATAACAGAAGAATGGAACCAAACAAAAATAAGTCCAAAAAGAACATTTCTAAGAGTGAACATTACAAGGAATATGCAAGACTTATATGCAGAAAACTTTCACACACCATTGAAGGGCACAAACACAGACTCGAACAAATGGAAAGTCATACCATGCTTTTGGATAAGAAAATTCTATTTCATTAACATGTAAATTCTCACTAAATTAATTTTTAAATTTCATCTTTCCAAAGTCCATATGGAAAAATAAACAAAAAGGAATAGGTAGGAAAACTCTGAAAAAGAAAAGCAATCAAGAGTAACTACCAGGTCATAAAACATACTATCAAGAATTAATAATTAATACAGTATGGTACTGGTACATGAACAGACAGAGACCCACGTAAAAGCATATACAATCTAGAAAGAGATTCCCTGCCCCCAAAATAAGAATTTAGTAATAAAGATGGGATCTTATATCAATAAGCAAAATGTGAACTATACTTAACAGCATCTCTATTGAATAGCAATCTGGGGGGAAAAAAGCTGCATTCATACCTCATACCTTATACCAGGATAGGAGAGTTTAACTTACTGAGTTGCTCAAATGAAGAGACCTACAGTTACAGACACTCAGGATTTCTTTGTGATCATCCAATGGCAAAATCCACAGTCAACAAGCCTCACTTTCTCAGCTATATACAATAAGTTTTTTTGTTTTTTTTTTTTGGAGACAGAGTCTTGCTCTATCACCCAGGCTGGAATACAGTGGTGCCATCTCAGCATACTGGAAACCTCCGCCTTGCAGTTCAAGCAATTCTCCTGCCTCAGCCTCCTAAGTAGCTGGGACTACAGGCATACGCCACTACACCCTGCAAAGTTTTTGTATTTTTAGTAGAGACGGGGTTTCACCATGTTAGCCAGGCTGGTCTCGAACTCCTGACCTCAAGTGATCTGCTGCCCTCAGCTTCCCAAAGACCTGGGATTACAGGCGTGAGCCACCACACCTGGCCCATTATACAATAAGCTTTTTAATGCCCTAAACTTAAATATGAATTGTAAATTTCCTTTGGGAAGTGATGAAGCATAGGAATCCTGTTTTTAATTCATATCTTAGGACAATGCACTTATATTAATTTAGTATAAAATTAAAAGAATATTAATAACTGGGAACAAGACTGGAGACAGAGACACCCAACAGGAGGCTGCTGTAGTGCTCAAGGTGTGACATGCTGATGGGATGGACCAAGGTGCTAGCCAGGGATATAAAATGAAAAGTGGATTGGCCAGCATGGTGGCTCACACTTGTAATCCTAGTACTCTGGGAGGCTGAAGTGGGAGGATTGCTTGAGCCCAGGAGTTCAAGACCAGCCTGGGCAACATAGCAAGATCTCCTCTCTTAAAAAAAAAGAAAAAAGAAAAAAGAAAAAAAGAAAAGGAAAAGTGGATAGGTTAGCGGCATTTTCTGAACAGAGGGGCCACATCTCTTGCTTGTGGAGAACGTGGGAGGTGGTGAGTAAAAGAGAGAAATCGAAGATGACTATGAGGTTGCCTGAGTAACTAAATGGATGGGAATGTTATTAGTAACATGGTAATAAAATGAGGTAGGATGGGTTGGGGAGGAGCAAAAAGTGAGAAATAAAGCTTCCTGTTACTACCTTGTTCAGTTTGAGCTGCGTATTAGCTAATCAAAGTTTGTATGTAAATCCAAAGTTAGAGGAGCTGCTCAGGGCCAGAAATAATTACTTGGGACTCATAGCATATAGATGTATTTATATCTAAGCCACAACATACATTTATTTAGGGAGAGAATAAAAATAGCAGAGTACTTCTATGGTACTATATTCACTTATAACTCATCTTTCTGTGGTTTTCTGCAGTTTTACGAATTTTTTTTATGTATTCATCAATGTGTATTTTATTGCTTTAATTAGAGTGTCAATTACCAAAGGTTCATAAGTCATGCTCTGCTTTCTAAAGACTTTTAAATAAAAGATAACTGACATTTTCCCATATTTGATGTACAAATTAGTTGTGCCTATTTAGAAAGAATTTTTAAAAACTTATATAAAAGGATATCCCTGGCATAAGGTTCTTTCCCATCAAAATCATAAAATGTATAGAATTTAGTCTGAAAGGACAGTATACTCCACCCTGCTGAAACAAGCTCTCTGAGCCATTCACCTGCAGAAGCTCAGCGTGCAAGAGAAGGGTGTAGGCAGCTTCTGTGTAGTTCTCACAGTCTCGGTGCAAATCTCGAAGCTTGTACAGATATCTGGCAAGAAGGGGAGAAAGGAAGCATCTTGTCACTCGAGAGTTTTGTAGGTTTTTTAAGTTTTGTTTTGAGACAGGGTCTTGCTGTGTTGGCCAGGCTGGAGTGTGCAGTGGTCCGATCATGGCTCACTGCAGCCTTGAGCTCCAGGGCTCAAGTGATCCACCCACCTCAGCCTCCTGAGTAGCTGGCATGTGCCACCAAGCCCGGCTAATTTTCGTTGTGTTTTGTAGAGACAGGGTTTTTCCATGCTGCCCAGGCTCGAGAGTTGATCTAGTGTTCAGCTCATTCCACAACCAGACCCCAGCCTGCTTCTCTGCCTGACTCCCCTCGCTTCCCCACTACTGTACAGAAGCTATTCCATCCTCTTGAGCCAAGGAGTCGGTTCCTCCTCATTTCTTTAATACACTGCGCACCTCCTGCCTCCGTGTTTCTCTGACTCCATCTAGACCAGTTTCTCTTCCGTCTTTAAGGTAGTGCTGTTTAATGTTTTTAAATTTTAGGTCTTGGACCCCTCTGGGAAGCTAATGAAAGCTATAGAATCTCTCCCCAAGAACATGCATATTGGTTATGTACAAGTTTGTTTCATGTTCAGAGATTCGCTAAGACTCTTGCATGGGTTTTCCTGCCTCTCCCTGTACAGCCTCTCCTGCCCACCCAGGGCAGAAGTTGTCTATCCCTCCCCTGATCCCTGACATGACCTCACATAGGCACTCCTTCCTGTCATACTTATTCATGTATCCGTCTAAAGAGTTTGTCAGTTCAGGGTGAATGGAGCATATCATGTACTTTTAGGGGTCTCTCAAAGCAGCAAACACGGTGTTGGGCATCGTATTTGTTTACTGAAGAAATCAATCACAAAGCCATGAAATAAATAGCAGAAGCAAGAAATTTCCTTCAGCTTACCTTATGTATATGTCCTCTCTCTTCTTTTCTTTATAAAAGTTCTGCCAGGAAAAAAAAAAAAAAAGGATCACAGAATCCCAATATAAATCAAGAGCTATTGACAAGCTCACCAAAAAATAGCCAAACCACTGTTGTTGCTTTTCAACAATTTCACTTTTCCAAAGAGTTCACTGTTTCCCTTTAACAAATATCCCCATAAGAAAAGGCGATATTTATCCTGAGGACGCAAAGGCACAAGAATGATATAAAGGATTTTGGGAACTCAGCGGGGAAGGTTACAGGTGGGTGAGGGATAAAAGACTACATTTTGGGTACGGTGCTCGGGTGACAAGTGCTCTAAAATCTCAGAAATCACCACTAAAGAACTTCTCTGGCCAGGCACAGTGGCTCATGCCTGTAATCCTGACACTTTGGGAGGCTGAGGCAGGTGGATCACGAGGTCAGGAGATTGAGACCATCACGGCCAACATGGTGAAAGTCCGTCTCTACTAAAAATGCAAAAATTAGCTGGGCATGCTGGCACGTGCCTGTAATTCCAGCCTGTAATTCCTGACTCGGGTGCCTGAGTCAGGAGAATTGCTTGAACCCGGGAGGCAGAGGTTGCCAGTGAGCCGAGATCCTACCACTGCACTCCAGCCTGGCAACAGAGCGAGACTCCGTCTCAAAAAACAAACAAACAAACAAACAGAAACTTATCCATGTAACCAGAAACCCCCTGTACCCCCAAAACCTACTGAAATACAAATTAAAACAATCAAAAGCACACCAAATTTATCCTCAGGGTCTGTGGCTGCTGGTACCTGGGAGCTGAGCCAGCCATTCCAATTAGACTCAGGAAGACACCAGCTCCACAAAGGTGCCCAGGGTGCCTCTGTGTTTGTGGGATCCACCTAGAGCTAAGCTGTAGGGTGCAGGGGCAGCCTGGCAGTCCCCTCCCATCACCCCAGGGGCATGTCACATACCAGCACATTCACAGTGCAGCTCATACGGTTCTCCTTGCTCTCATCGTGCATGATGATGGTTCTGTAGTCCAGCAGGTTCTCTAAGAGGCTGCTGACCAGGAGGGCAAAGACCTCCCCAGAGCTGGAGAGGTATTTGTGTTTCCGGCAATGTTCTAGGAGCCTGGAGGGGCGGAGGGAGAGACAAAAGCCCAGGTCCCATGCTGTCATTCCAGCAGCACTGACCGGCACTGACCAGGGTCTCAGCAGTGGTTGGGGTAGGATTTGATGACACAGAATATCAGTGTTAGATATTAAGTGACAGAGTTAAGCCGACACACACACCTCATGCAACACCTTCCTATCCTGTGACCTTCATTTATGCTGCGCTTCTCTGTGGACTCGAGTTCCAGTTTTCTTTAGGACTCAGCTCAAGTCCTACCATCACTTAGAATCCCAGCCCGCAATGTCCTTCTTTCAATGTCTGTTTTTGTTTGTGTTTTATTCAGTCAACAAACCCTTGCTCAAAAAGTTTGTGCTGTGTGAAGACTGTAATCTAGTTGCATGAGACCATTTTTCCTATGTCTCTATTCTCCCTAAGGCCTGGCACTCAGGGCATCCTCTGAACATTCTGGAATGCCTCGTATGGATGCCCAGCCTAGAGGAACCTGGAAACCTAGTACACCTCCTGCGATGCAGCTCTTTAGATAAAAGTGCTAGCTTCAGATAAAAATGCAGAGTTGTAAAGAAGCAAACTGAGGCTAAACTTTCAGTCTAAATCCTGTCCCTTTGGACACACATAGAGCCAAGTTCTGGGGCTCATTAGATTAGAAAATTAAAAGAAAATCTGGGAAAAGAGGGAGAGGGAAAGAGAAAGAAATGGGTCCAAAACATTAGTCCAGATTTAGGGTTATTCCTGGGCACTGGAGACCTAGGTATCCATATTTTTTCTGAGTTAGTGAACTGGGAAGAATGAAGAAAACAAAGTAAGATCCTTATGTAAAAAAAATCAGCTGTAGGATTAAAAAAAAGTAGCATGTCATGTGTAAATATTTTGTGTATATGTGCATAACTTCATTCCACAAAAGATCAGAATTGCAAAAGATATAAACTGGGAGGTTTGAAGTTCAAATGGAGAGACTTAATGGAAACAGGATAAAAACACCAACAAAAGGTCCTATCGCCATTAAAAACAAAGTAAGAAAGGCTTCTAGTCCTTTAAAATACAGACTATTCATCAACTCAATTCCATTTCTGAGTATTCAGAGTGCTGGTTCCTTAGGGAATCTTCAAAAAAGAAAACAGTTGGGAGCGCTGTCCTCAAACACAGACTCTCATCCACAAAACTCCCACAAAACAGGTGAACAAAGTGACCCAGGCAAGCATTCAGTTGGAGACGCAGTTGGTCAATACTAGAAAAGTTCAGGGAACATGAGAAAGCAATGGTCTAGAGTAGCTACAACGTGAATGAAGGGCAGCCCTGTAAATAATTATAATAATAATAGGCCAGATGTGGTGACTCACGCCTGTAATCCCAGCCCATTAGGAAGCCAAGGCTGGAGGAATGCTTGAGGCCAAGAGTTCTAGACCAGCCTGGGCAACAAAGCAAGACCCCATCTCTACAAAAATAAAAATGAAAGCCAGCTGGGCATGGTGGTGCACACCTACAGTCCCAGCTACTAGGGAGGCTGAAGTGGGAGGATCACTTAAAGCAAAATTTTCAGACCAGCCTTGGCAACATGGCAAGACCCCATTTCTACACAAATAAAAATAAGAAACAGCTGGGCATGGCGACATATGCCTGTAGTCCTAGTACTTGGGAGTCTGAGGTGGGAGGATTGCTTGAGCCCAGGAGTTCCAGGCTTTAGTGAGCTATCATTGTACCACTGTACTCCAGCCTGGGCAACAGAGAGAGACCCTATCTCTTAAAAACAAACAAACACCAAAAACAAATTGTAATAACAACCACCACAAACACTAGAGCAGCCAATATTTATTAGGCTTGAACTCTGCAACAGATGCTATGTTAGCATATCATCTCCTGTAATCCTCATAATGATATCAAAAAATAGATGCTATTCTTGGAGAGGGAAAAAAAATGAGGTGTTGGATAAGCAGAATTGCTGGACTAAAGCCAAACTCTTAATATGTGGTGAAAACAGGGTTTGACGCTGAGGCCAACACCTATGTGTTTTTTAAATAATCACTTTTCCATTCTCCATTACTCCACATGTGCCAAGGAGGATGATGAGGGCAAGAGGGGTATAGGTGAGTGTGGCGGTGGGGGAAGAGGGGACAGTGGTGATAATGGGAGCCCAGACAGAGGTACAGATGTGTTAATGGGGTGGATGACAGGACAGGAAAAAGACCAACCTGGCTGGAGATAGAACTGCTTTGGTTTTATGTCCTTTATGGGGTATAAGGCATTTTTTACATACACAGCAGACCTTGAAATATTTTTTCCTTTAAATTGTTGCTTTGCAGTTATAATTAGAAGTGCTAACACTTTTGTTGAAGTTCAAAAATTCAAACACTGGGCAAAATGCCACCGCTCTGTGCACCTCCTCCTTGCCTCCATCTGCTGTGTTCTCTAGGGCCAGGCTGGCCAGGAAAATACCGGCATTTGACTCCCACCAGATAAACAATGTCAGCTCTGGACGGTATATACCCCATAACCATACTGAAGACCACAGTGGGGGTGGCCCTGGTGACTCTGAGACTACTCAATTGCTCTATCGGTGCAACAGGACCCCTGTTTTTCTCTATTACTAAATGACACCACTGACTTAAGGTTTTGCTCCTGAAATACTCACAGTTTTTCCAGAAGAACCTTGTATTGTTCGTCTCCTCTGCCTCCTTCTACCTCCTGGTCCAGCTTTGTGATCAGCTCGTTCTCAAACTGAAAGTAGACGTAGAATTTCACAGGAAAATGTTGCCTCCTTAGAAGAAGACACGGCCAACCTTTCTAGACTTGGCCAACCCATTCATTGAGTTGTGAACTGTTTGCAGCACAGACAGGGAGGAGCACAGAGGGTCACTCATAAACTGTGCACCAAGGCCCTACTAAAATGTTCTAACACAGTCTCATGTCACTTTGTCCTTTGCATTACATTTGATTAAAAAAATATTATCCCAAACATTGCTTTCTGTTACAACTATGCATATAAAAATAGAATAATAATTTTCGTTTTTCTATTTTACTTTAGTTTCATGTCCAAGTCTCCGCAGTGAGATTGTTTTTGCAGAGGATCATGGCTGTAAAATCATTCTTTCAATATTAGCACACTTTGTAGATAAGAAAACAGAGGCATAAAGAAGACATATCAGGAAAATGATGTTCTCAAAGCTATAGAGTAATGGATTAGAACTTAATCCATTACATTGCTTTCAGCTGTACTATAATAGATAGGTTTTAAAATTCAATTCACTACATTATTCTCTGGGCTATACTGAAACCGCCAAGATTAAAATGCATGAAGTTAACTTTCTTTAATTATCTACAGACAGGGTGTTGCCTTAGGAAAGACATGTAGCAAAAATATCTCTTTCAGGCTCTGGGTTGCAATGTCTGACTCTATCTCTAATTGCCTTATAAAATGAAATCTAAAGTGAACTTTCAGATCAACGTGGACTTGCATTATTTAGGTTACTGCTTCTCTACATAGAAAGAAATGACTTATGAGTTGACTATATGTCCATTTACTGATACTACACGGTCTACCACTTCTTACCATATGGAAATTGCCATTTCCACTGAAATTGAACTCACACTGCATCATATCAAAGAAAATGGGGATTGTGGCTTTCCGGAGCTCTACTTCGGGGGTCAGAGTGACCTCCAGAATGGGACCCACCATGGATGGGATGAATTTGATTTTATGGGGACCTGTAATGAAAGTGAATGAAGATATTAAAAAATTATTTCACTGAAAGTAAAGTGTTACAATCTTCCTCCACAAGGCCCATAAGAAAAGAAAAGGTTTACGTGGGTAAATCAACTCAATTCAGAAGTGAGTGACTCAATATTATATTCTGATAACATGTGGATGCCAGAGTAAAAGACAGTTCATTGTCAATGAAACCCACAAATCAACTTTCACTTCCAGACACACAGACAAATACATCTCAGGGTTATCTGGATTAAAATAAAAAAAGAATTCATCATGGGATGCTTGTCACTCAGAAGTTGTGATCAAGCCTGTTCAAGGCTAGACACTCACCCAGGTTATACCACATGTCCCGGATTCTAAAGCCGATTTCCTTTCTCATGTCCCCATATCTAGGAAGAAGATCATAAACCAGAAGGAGGATTTGCAGTGGAAATGAATTGCATAAACACAATAAGAAGGAAAGTAAAAACAGTCTGTGCCCCTCTAGGTCACTCTTAAGGCCCAGCCTTAAGAGATGAGTTTCACACCTAAAAGAGCCACCAAAAGGAATGAGGCACACAGAGGCCAGGGGACCTTGACAGCATGAAAAGCCAGATGGAAACACTGAAAAATAACTAAGATGAGATTAACAAACTCACTTCAGGGAGAATAATGAGGCACAGACAAAGCCAAACAAAACACAGCAAACACTGATGAAAAGGAAGGTGAATGAAGTATGATTATACAGTACTGTGACTGATGTCTAACAGGCAGACTAAATACTTATATACTTTATAGACTGATATTTGGGTAATATACATCCATTCCAGTATTCACATTGGAAGGCTCTACACCATGTACTCTCACTGGGAGTGATATTGCCCACAAAGGGATAAAAATTGGTCCTTGGGAGCAAAAAATACTTTGCTGTTTTTCTATATATATAGGCAGTTTTTGAGGGAGGAACCAGAAGTAGAAGGACACTAAATAGTTTTCCTAGATATCACAGATATCCCAACAAGGGGAACAGAACTAAAATTTCGAAGTCTTCAAATAATACATTCCTCAAGTTATTTTTTAACAACACTGTCTTTGGATTTCTAGTCTCTCAATGAAATGCAATACTTCCCTAAATCTCTTATCACTTCTGCACATAATTCCATTTTGAATTCCAGGCCAGGAATCTGGAGGGCATTTTAATGCAATGTTTGAGTCCTGGCTTTCTCTGCTGAAACGGCAGGGAAGGAGTGTGCTTTGTGAAGCACTATGAGTGACTCTTCATAGTGGTTCATGGTACTCATAGTACTTCACAAAGTACTATGCCTGCAATTTGGGGAAGCTGCCAGCAGAGGCGCAGCTGTTCTTGGGGATGGGCATGCTGACAGCCAAAGTCCATCTCTAGGTACAGATTTGATAAAAAGCATAGGATGACTGATGGGAAGATGGTTGGGCCTTAAGAAAAGAGTGCTGAACCTGGGGGAATGTGAGGCCTATTAAGTAATTAGTTGAAGACCTACCTCACTAACAACATGGGCAGCCACTAAATAGTAATTTCTGTGATACCTAAAATACTGCTTTCAATATAAACAAACGGAAGAAGCCCCTTGCGGATCTTAACTTTAAAAGGACACTTACTTTTTAACAATTTTGTTGCGCTTGGCTTGTGAGAAGGTTTCAAGCTGAAGGAACTCATGGGTGAGAAATGCTACTGCCAAATGGAAGTAATTGTTCCAGAGCTGTTCAAAATTAATTGTGTGGGTAAAAGGAAATGAAAAATAACATTAATAAGGGTCATAATAAAACAATGTCACATGGTAAAGTCATTAATCAGGGATTAATGAAAGAACAAAATACACTCTACAAGATTTCTTTTTCTTGGGTGTTCATTATTCAATTCTAAGTTTTGAGACTTAATGTTAAGCTTTTTAAAAAAATTTAAACTATTATATTTTTCTTTACTCCTGGGATAAAGGAAAGCTGCTGCCAAGAAGTACATCTATTTATAGTACGTAGTTTGGCACTATGTTTCAAAAGCCCTACAAGTTTGCAAAACTTTTGAACTAGTAAACACTTTTAGGACTTTATCCTGATGAAATAACCACGCTTTTTTTTTTTTTTTTTTTTCAGCTGGAGTGCAGTGTGCAATCTCAGCTCACTGCAACCTCCACCTCCCAAGTTCAAGTGTTCTGCCTCAGCCTCCCGAGTATCTGGGATTACAGGTGTGCACCACCATGCCTGGCTAATTTTTGTATGGTTAGTAGAGATGAAGTTTTGCCATGTTGGCCAGACTGGTCTTGAACTCCTGACCTCAGGTGATCTGCCCGCCTTGGCCTCCCAAAGTGCTGGGACTATAGGCATGAGCCACTGTGCCTGACCAACCATGAATATTTTTAAAAATTTAAAGCAAGAAAGTCCATCACAGTGTTATTTAATATAATAGAAAATGGAAACAATCTAAATGTTCATAAGAAGAATTTGGTTAAATATATCATGGACCAGGCATAGAAAAGATGGTATTCAGTCATTAAAAATAAGAAAATATTCAACATTATTGAAAAAAATCATAGATCATTGAAAAAGGAAAATAGATTAACAGGGTACCAAAGAACTGCACAGCTCAATTCCATTTTGGCAAATACACATATACATACATACAATATATATTCATCTATATGCATATGCATCTCTGTGTGTGTATGTGTATATACTTTCCTCTACTTACGAGTTTCAACTTTTAAAGTTCTGAGGCAGGAAAACGGGGCCTGGAGGCAGGGCACTGAAGGCCAATTCACACTGATTTCCTAGAACTGAATCAAAAGGAAAACTCCACCTCTCCACACCCAAGTAACAAAAGGATCAGATGCTACCCCTTTGCACTGTGTGGCAGAAGAAAAATTCAAAGTACCTCTGATTGGTCCCCTCCTGCAACTGGTGGGAGGGTCAAACTGGTCACAGGCTACTCCTTCATTTGCATAGGGTGTAACCAAGTAACCAATGGGAAACTTCTAGAGGGTATTTAAATGCCAGAAAATTCTGTAACCAGTGCTCTTGAGCCGCTTGCTTGAGCCTGCTCCCACTCTGTGGAGTGTACTTTCATTTCAATAAATCTGGCTTTTATTGCTTCATTCTTTCATTGCTTTGTTTGTGCATTTTGTTCAAAACACCAAGAACCTGGACAATTTGTAGTCAAGGACCTCCACTGATAACAGTTCCACAGATACACACAAAGACAAAGAATACAGAAAGCACATCACCCAAAAATGCAGAGTACCCTGGAAGGTGAGCTCCACGAGAGCAAGGAACTTATCTGCCTTCACCAGGGAAATATCCCTGTGCCCTGTACATATAAGAACTCTAACATTTGCTAAATGGATGAATGGACACATGAATGAATGAATGAATGAATGAATGAATGAATGAATGAAGATAGAGTTAGTGATCATCCGTTTTGCAATTCCTTTGGACTTTCAACAAACTGTGCATAAGAACCGTTCTTTAGAACCAAACTCATTTGTAGGTAGGAGAGTTACCTGTGTGCTTATTTGTAGCCATGTGTGTCTACGTGCATTTGTGTAAATATACAAAGGGTCAACTCCAAATGTTTACAGTGACAAGGAGGACTATTTGTATTTTTGATCTTCTACTTTACTCTTTAAGACTTTTTTTTTTTTTTTTTAACAGATGTTACCTTTATAGAAAAAAGAAACAACCCCTATTTTATTGTGTTTGGAGGACAGTGTGACAGGCATATGTGCTTTAGGAAATGAAAAAACACAGGAAAATCTTTTTCATGTGAAAATGGTGAAATCTGAGGAGACACTTTCCAAATTCATATAGTTCTCTTGCCATGGCCAAGAATTCCAGAAGCATGTAGGTGAGTCACATGCCTACCTGAAGTTCAAAGCTTGCCTGATCCATGAAGAATCTTGTGAGAACTTCAGCAAACTGATTTATAGCACGGAGAAAAACCCTGGGGAAGGAAAATACCAGGTAAAGAAGGCAACTGTATGTCCTTTGAAACTTTTCCCCAACTATGTTAAAAGCTAAACCAAACCAAACCTGAACTTGGCATCTTAAGACATCACAATCTAACAGTGTCCTTGTAGACCAACAGCACAATGCCATCCACAGACGGGGCACAGGAGCTCAGTTTACAGAACTAACAAGAAGAGCCACTCAGGGCCACATCCCAATTTAGGTAACTGAAAGTAGATCTGAGACTGCAAACCAGGACTCTTAAGCCTCAGAGCAGGGTAATATAGACTCTATTATGATGCTTCTGTTTAAGCTTAGCGTTTCTGGAGAAATTTTTTTAAATCTAATCTGTACATAGCAGGGAAGGCTTCTGCTAATCAGATATTAGAGTAGAATTACTCAGAATTGGATATCCTGTAGAGTTAACAATAATGCTTACAATAATGGGTTGCTTTATTTATCTCATTAAATTCTAACACTTTTAACATAATATATATTCAGTTCATTTCACTTTTGTTCAACAAGTATCTGTTGTGGGCCAGCAATTGCAAGGCACAGGCTCAGGTCTGTGTTGAAAGACACAGTGTCTGATCTTAAGAAATTTACAGCTTGGTAGGGGAAATTAATAACATGTACATCTATTATCTAATATAGAATCTGAAAACAATTCTATGAGGTTTGAATGGGGTATGGAAAATCAAGGAAGAAGAGAGGACATCCAGCTCAGAAAGGCTTTGTCTGGAGGTGACTCTTGAGAAGAACCTTATGGAACGGCTGGAACGCTGACAGCTGGAGGTTATGGGGAAGGCACTGCTGGTGGAAGACTGGTGTCAGGCAGAGCAGACCATGTATGCAGGGACTGGGCAGAGGCCAGTTTGGTTGGAGTACAGGTAGCATACACAGGGAAGTAGCAGAAGGGACTAGTTAGTTTGGCACTGCGTATCAAAAGTCCTGTAATTTCGCCAAACTTTTGAACTAGTAAATTATTTTAAGAGTGTATCCTGATAAGGCCGGGCGCGGTGGCTCAAGCCTGTAATCCCAGCACTTTGGGAGGCCGAGACGGGCAGATCACGAGGTCAGGAGATCGAGACCATACTGGCTAATCTGGTGAAACCCCGTCTCTACTAAAAAATACAAAAAACTAGCCGGGCGAGGTGGTGGGCGCCTGTAGTCCCAGCTACTCGGGAGGCTGAGGCAGGAGAATGGCGTAAACCCGGGAGGAGGAGCTTGCAGTGAGCTGAGATCCGGCCACTGCACTCCAGCCTGGACGACGGAGCGAGACTCCATCAAAAAAAAAAAAAGGAGTGTATCCTGATAAAATAACCATGGATATCTGTAAATATGTAAAGCAAGGAAGGCCATCACAGTGCTATTTCACATAATAGAAAATGGAAAGAATCTAAATGTTCATAAGAAGAATCTGGTTAAATACATCATGGACAGATCATAGAACAGACAGTATCAGGTGAACCCTGAATGTCAGGATGACACAGGCCATGTGGAGCCGCGGAAAGGTGCAGTGGAGAGTTGAGGATGACAATTACCGTGAGAGCACTGAAGAGACGATGCTAGAGAAGGGAGTAGAGAGCCCGAGGTGGAGCAAAGGCAATTACCCTGGGAAAATCAAGATCATGAGCACATAAATTAGGACCTCTGGAGCAGGAAGATTCTCACTTTACAGATGACGGATTTGAGGCAAAGGGATTTAAAGACACTTCCCAAAGTTCACACAGCAGCCTCGGGTATTCAGACAAATGCCTCAGGGCCAGCCATCGGCTGTCTCACCTGTTCTGAGTCATATTCATCACCATCCAATCTTTGGCATAGACATTTTTTCCAATCAGGTCCTTGAACATGATAAAAGTTTCCATGAGGAAGTCCTGCGGAGAACAGAGGAGTGGTTGGGGGAAAACTGGGTTACATTCATAGTCTTCATTCTGGCGTGTACACAAGCAGAACCACAACCTCAGAACAGGATGTTCCTAGTGCCACAGTAACAGCCCATCTTTCAATGGTTTTAGGAATAACAAAGCATTCTTGCAGCTAGCTATGATGCGATTTGATTTCTATATTGTAGGACCCTATAAGGAAGATAAGGAAAAAAAGAATCATCCACATTTTACAAATGGTACAACTGAGACTGAGAAAAACTAAAGGACTCGCTTAACCACATTGAAAGTAGGAAGGAGGGTCGGGTGTGGTGGCTTACACCTGTAATCTCAGCACTTTGGGAGGCTGAGGTGGGCAGATCATGAGGTCAGGAGTTTGAGACCAGCCTGGCCAACTTGGCGAAATTCCATCTCTATTAAAAATACAAAAATTTGCCAGGCTTGGTGGCGTATGCCTGTAGTGCCAGCTACTTGGGAGGCTGAGGCAGGAGTACTGCTTGAACCAGGGAGGCAGAGGTTGCAGTGAGCTGAGATTGTGCCATTGCACTCCAGCCTGCATAGGAGAGTGAGACTCCGTCTCAAAAAAAAAAAAAAAAAAAAAAAAGAAAAAAAGAAAATGGGAAGGAGAAGAGTTAGGTGAGAACTTGGGGCTTTGGACCCCAAGTTTGTAATCCTTATCTCTTTCGTCCTCCACTACCACAGGTTGTCAGAATGTGTCTCATGCACTTAAACATAATTCACCAACAATTGTGGGGAAATGGATACTTTTAATAGAGTTCAGTTCAATTCTCCTTTATTATGGTCAGAACAGGACACAGTGATACACACGCAGAATCACGATTCTTCCTGTGCCAGGGACGTTATCATGTGCAGCCTGGGAGAAGGGTCCTAAACAGTCCTTGAAAAGGGACCATAGCAGTGGCTGGTGATGACTAATAGCTAATCACTTAAGCATACAGAGCTCTTCTGCTCCAAAGGGGGCTGTGAGCAAAAACTAATTCAAAAATAGAACAATCAGAGTTGAAATCAAAGCTAAAATGTTTTGAAGGCATTTTTATTAGTTAGCTAAATTTAGACCTTTTCCACTGTGATTCCTGAAAGTCCTGTCCAGTTTCTCTGGCACTAACCTGCACAGTCCCGCCTGGACACTTGTCTGTTGTGCAGTAGTAAGAACACAGTATGTGAGAGGCAGGAGGAGGTCCAGGTCCTATTGCTAACCATATTTTTCTGAGACGCTGGTCAAGCTGCGTAACTTCCTATACTTTGGATGCTGAATGGCATGGGGCATGACTCTCTCTGGCCAGCAAGTGTGTGTGTGCAACTGTGGATTTTCCCCTGGTTTTATGGCGAGTTAGACGTACCCACCCTCAATTCTGAAATCCTAGACGTAGTTAATGAATTCAAATTCGTTTCATCATATATTTATTTACTTATTTATTTATTTTGAGATGGAGTCTTGCTTTGTTGCCTGGGCTGGAGTGCAGTGGCACAATCTCAACTCACTGCAACCTCCACCTCATGGTTTCAAGCGATTCTGCTGCCTCAGTCACCCCAATAGCTGAGATTACAGGTGTCTGCCACCACCCTTGGCTACTTTATTTTATTTTATTTTTAGTAGAGATGGGGTTTTACCACGTGGGCCAGGCTGGTCTCGAACTCCTGACTTCCAGCCAGTGATCCACCTGCCTCGGCCTCCCAAAGTGCTGAGACTACAGGCATGAGTCACCACATCTGGCCTCATAATATATTTTAAGCACTTCCACCAATTTATTAGCCATTCTGTTAACTTTTCTTTTAAATCCATAAGAATTCATGGTTTGTGAAGCAAGGATTCAATTTAGATACTTGTTATTTGCTTCAGATACAGACTTTCTATTTAACTCCTGGAAATCTAAATTAATGAGATAGCATGATAAAGGAAACTCACAAGGAATCCCAAAGCCTGGTTTTATCCACCACTTCCCAAGGGCCTTCATGCGGTTCACTCAGAAGGCAGCGTGAGGGACTGAAAGGCCACTGGGAAGCAAAGGCCTAGCTGTGCACCATAACTTGGCCCCTGGGGACTACATTCAGGCAAGTTCCCTCATTTCTCCAGGCCTTAGTTCCCTTGTGGGGATAATGATCCTCTTTTAATTACATAATATAGCTGGAGGAGCTCACCATCATGCTGGTAAACAGGAGGTATGCCCCTTTTTTTCTTACTTAACAAAGGAGCCAAATTGTCAGGGTTTGAATTTAAAACTTCCCTATTCCGCCTGCTTTCTAAAGGAAATTTGCAACAAAAATCCCTAAAATTTTTATTGTTAATTTAACTTTATATAGCAATAATAATACAATGATTGTCACAAACAGCTAGTCCTCATAGGCATTAGCTACATGCCAACCTGCACGAAGCTGGGTATTTCCCACACATGGAGCCAAGCAACACTTAATTAACCCTCAAGGTGGGTACTATCTTGCAGATGAGGAAACTGAAGCTCAGTGAGGTTCAACAGCTTGCCCCAAATTGCATACAAGGAAGTGGAATGGTCAGAATTCAAACTCAGAGCTGGGTGTTCTAAAGCCGGTGCTAAAGCAGGTGCTATGCCACCTGCCTGTAGAGGACACATGTCTACCTTTGGCCTTCCCCCTCCCCTCCTCTCCTCTCATCCTGGTCCTCTTGTGCCTGGTCTCCACAGGCACATCTACGTATTGCTATGGTTCCTATGCCATGCTGCCTGCCACGATGTGGCCCAAGCAGAGGCTCATGGAGACCTTCAGCTCAAGCCATGTGGTCTAACACGGATTTGAGAGTCCACCATTGGGCCAACGAATAATAACAAACAGCACTTTCCCTCCAATTCCTTGTATGTTTGTCCATCATGTGGGCATGGCAGAAAGGTGGGTAGTGGGCATGGCAGAAGGGTGAGTAATGGGCAAGGAAGGAGCTGTGAATCCATGGGGGCAATGGCCTCCTACTCAGCATGACAGACGCAGAAAGTGGAAAATCTAGAACAAAGAGACTGGAATATGCACAGATGATGGGAAAGTATCCAAAGACTAGTGTCAACATGACACCAGCGTGCTAATCCAGTGGCACATCCTGTCCACTGCTCTGCAAAGTCTAACAACACCTTCATGGACATCTGAAGGGCCACTAACAATCCCCTGAAGGGAAGGTACAGTGAGCCACAGCCAGAGGCCTAACTTAGCCTCTTAGGTGAGTGCTTCATAGCAACTATGAGAACAATTTTCCTGCTTAAAACAATAGAGAACAAAATATTTTCATCTGAAGATAACTTACAAATGCTGTAAAGCAGGAGTCCCCAACCTTTTTGGCACCAGGTTTCAGGAAAGACAATTTTCCCATGAATGGGGGCAGGAATGGTTTTGGGATGAAACTGTTCCACCTCAGATCATCAGGCACTGGTGAGATTCACATAAGGAGCGGGCAACCCAGATTCCTCGCATGTGCAGTTCACAACAGGATTCAGCTCCTATGAGAGTCTAATGCCTCTGCTGATCTGACGGGAGCTCAGGAGTTAAATGCTCACTGGCCCGCTGCTCACTTCCTGCTGTGCAGCCAGGTTCCTAAAAGGCCATGGACAGGTTGTAAAGGGCAGGGATTACCTCTTTTTGTTGCCCTCTCCAAAATGATGGTATCAACCACGTCTTAGGAGACTTTGCACACCCCTGCCTTCTAAAATCCTTGCCATGACATGAGTAGTTACTGTACCACGTACGAAATCCTGTTTTCAGAGCAAAAAACATCTCCCAAATATTGCTAAATAAGGACTCTCTCTAAATCCAAGAAAGATTAAGGTGTGCGATAACCTCTTGGTATATGTGTTGTACTCTTTTTCAAATCCTATCAAAGAGAGAAAGTAGGAATTAGCTCTCTCCTTTCTGTAACCACTGTGGACAGCCACACAGCACTGGAGGTGGGTGGGAAGAGAAGCCTGGACTCCTGATGTGCAGCTTCAGTCATTTTTTTAAACCAAATATAAGAAGTCTTCAGGTTACCAGGACCAGTAAAGGCAACTTACAGTGATGTCTTGTCTGGTTTTGAAAGTGCTGATGTAGTGGCTATAGTGGCTGTCGTCCATTTGCTGCAGGATGGCAATCATGCAAGCCACAAAACTCCCCTGGAAGGAAAAGGAAAGCACAAATCCAAGACTCCTTAGACCACCAACTGACAAAAACACGATGTGAGCCCCATGAACTTGGCTTTTTCCACCCAACGAGCCATGCAGGTACCCCACCACACTGGAAACACGCTGCATTCTACAGGTCCAAAGGCCACGTGCTTTGCAGTTTCTGCTTCAAACTACCTCCTTCCAGGTATGAGTGAAGGACTCGCATTAACAGCTATGAAGTGTGGAATCCTATAGACGAGATTACCAGTGAAGATGTCATAACTTGTGGGGCTTTGGGTTTCTTGTTGAGACAGAGCTGTAGCATAGAATTCCATGGAGAAATGTCCGAAATACTTAGATTAGTTAAACAAATCTTAATGGGGAGGAAGGCTAGCAGGAAAAGAGGTGGCAACACCGAGCATGGAGGAGAGGAGGGCAAGGGATGATGATGAAAACTCCCTGCTAGAATGCCTGTAACATGGTTTGGCTGTGTCCCCACCCAAATCTCATCTTGAATTGTAGTTCCCATTATCCCCATGTGTTGTGGGAAGTAATTTAATGGTAGGAACGGTTACGCTCATGCTAGTCTCGTGATAGTGAGTTCTCACGAGATCTGATGGTTTTACAAGAGGGTTTTCCCCCTTTTGCTTGGCATTTCTGGCTGCTGCCTTGTGAAGAAGGATATGTTTGCTTCCTCTTCTGCCATGATTGTAAGTTTCCTGAGGTCTCCCCAGCCATGCTGAACTGTTAGTCAATTAAACCTCTTTCCTTGATAAACTACTCAGATTTATCAACTACCCAGTCTCAGGTATGTTTCTATTAGCAGCATGAGAATGGACTAATACCACCTGATACCACTTCTCCAACTCCAGAGCCCATCAGCCAGTTGTTCCAATATACTACCCACATGAATTGTGACCCTGACTTGAAGATAAAAAATTAGTAACTAGATGATTAATTAACATTGCTTCCATTTGTGAGTTCGGGAATTACATATTCAAGGTGCTACCCCTAGACCAAAAAAATGTGAATTATAGACTTAGTTTTATAGACAGGGAGTGAAGATACAGGGGTGCTAACCTCCTGTATTCATGCAGTTATGAAAATAACACAAAGGAATTTAGCACAGGAGAGATGAACATACAGCTGTTTCTAAAACAGAGAGAAAGTTTCCCCAAGCAGAACAACGAAAGATTGTCTATGTCTATCTCTTACTGAATGCATTCCCTAGACTGTTTCTTTTGTTTTAAAAAGTTTATATTTTAGGCCTGGTGGCATGGTTCACACCTGTAATCCCAGCACTTTGGGAGGCCAAGGCAGGCAGATCACTTGAGGTCAGGAGTTTGAGATCAGACTGGCCAACATGGTGAAACCCCATCTCTACTAAAAATACAAAAATCAGCCTGGCATGGCGGCAGGCACCTATAATCCCAGCTACTTGGGAGGCAGAGGCAGGAAAATTGCTTGAACTTGGGAGGCAGAGATGCAGTGAGCCGAGATTGCACCACTGCACTCCAGCCTGGGTGACAGCCAGAGCCTGTCTCAAAAAAACAAAACAAAGGTTTATTTTTTCAATTACAAAGCAGTGTAAATTTATTGTACTAAGGCCTCTGATATATATATTGCCAAATTATCATATAGCTTGTTTTCCCAACGGTGTCTAACACAATTTGTTTCTCCAAGACCTTGCCTATTCTGGGTATTAGAGGTTTACTTAATCTCACTTTGCATTTTCATTTCCTCTTCTCTAAATTAAACAGTCTGTCCATGAACTTTTTGGCCATTTAGCTTTCTCATGTTGCTGTTTGTACCCATTCTTTACTCATTTTTCTATTAAAACAATATCTTTGCTTAGTGGCTTATAATAGCTTTTGTATATTAAGTTTATTAGCCACCTGTCACCTATGTTACAAAAATTTTTAAAGTTTGGGGCTTAACTTTTAATTTGCATATATATACACACATACACACACACATATCTTCATATATAGGGATTTAAAATTTCACCTAGTAAAATCGATTTTTTCTTGTATTTTAACTATAAAAATTCATGAATCCTGTTCCTCCTCAAATCAGTTATCTATTATTTTATTCTAGCGTGTAATAATGTAATTTTTTTTAATTGAATACGTCATTCTATCTGACATTTATTTTGTGAGTATAGTATGAAGTTGAACAAATTTTTTCCAAATTAACTAATTTTCTTTTTCTTTGTTTGAGACGGGGTCTCATTCTGTCACCCAGGCTACAGTGCAGTGGCGATCATGGCTGACTGTAGCCTCGACTTCCCTGGGGCTCAATCCTCACATCTCAGCCTCCTGAGTAGTTGGGATTACAGGCGCATGTTACCACGACTGGCTAATTTTTGTGTATTTTTTTTTTGAGACAGGCTCTTGCAATGTTTCTCAGGCTGGTCTCCAACTCCTGGACTCAAGTGACCTGCTAGTTTCAGCCTCCTGAAGTGCTGGGATCACAGGCATGAGCCACCGCACCCAGCCCCAAATTGTTAACTAATGTTCTAAACAATGTTTACTAAAAACCTTCATTTTCTCTTTTGAAAGGTAAAGAAATATTCATACGATCCAAAATCTCCTTTTCACTTATATGGTTCTGTTCTGCTGATATGTATCCTCTAAGTCTGACAGGCAAGCTCTCCATTATTACGTTTATTTTTATTTTTTTTTTTAACGAGACGGAGTCTTGCTCTGTCACCAGGCTGGAGCGCAGTGGCGCGATCTCAGCTCACTACAATCTCCGCCTCCCGGGTTCAAGTGATTCCCTCTGCCTCAGCCTCCCAAGTAGTTGGGACTACAGACATGCATCACCACAACTGGCTAATTTTTTTTTTTTTTTTTTTTGTATTTTAGTAGAGACGGGGTTTCACCACATTGGCCAGGGTGGTCTTGATCTCCTGACCTCGTGATCTGCCCACCTCAGTCTCCCAAAGTGCTGGGATTACAGGCATGAGCCACCATGCCAGGCCTCGTTATTATTTCTATTTGGCTATTTATTTGTAACTAGTACTTATTCTTACTCTGATATTTTTGTGACTGAATTAAATAGACTTTCTCATTTATAATCTCTAAACAGCTTCTGTCGTTAAAGAACAGGCATTAAATATCATTTACTTTAAAACAGGTTAGAGGCTGGGTGCAGTGGCTCATACCTGTAATCCCAGCACTTTAGGATGCTAAGGTGGGTGGATCATTTGAGGTCAGGAGTTCAAGACTAGCCCAGCCAACATGGCAAAACCTCATCTCTACTAAAAATACAAAAATTAGCTGGGTGTCAGGGCACACACTTGTAACCCCAGCTACTTGGGAGGCTGAGGTAGGACAATCACTTGAATCTGGGAGGTGGAGGTCGCAGTGAACGACCTCTACAAAAAAATTAAAAGTTAGCCAGGCATGGCGGCATGTGCCTGTAGTCCCAGCTGCTTAGGAGGATGAGGCAAGAGGCTTGCTTAGACTCGGGAGATTGAGGCTGCAGTGAGTTGTGAAGGTGCCACTATACTTCACCCTGGTGACAGAGTGAGAACCTGTCTCTATTTAGAAAAACAAAAGGTATTTAATTTCAACAAAAGGTATTCAATTCCTAATCATCTTATTTAAAGCTGTGACTCCCCCACCCTCACTTCCCTTAACCTACTATTATTTTTTTCGTCTATAGCACCTGTTGTCTCCTAACACTATGTAGTTTATTTTGCTATAACTGTTGTCATTATTGTTGGTGTCAGCTCCTCAAAGGCAGTGATTTTTCTGTTGTGTTCATGGGTACATCTTCAGTGTCCAGAGCAGTGCCTGTTTTATGGCAGTTTTTCATACCTATTTGTGAAATAAATGAATTTTTTTAATCTGACAGGAATTTGGAATAATTCTTGTCCTATGTCCTCTAATTAAAATCTAACCGTAGCTTTTAATACAGCAAGTAAAAGATGTTTCACTTTAATGACGACACCACTGAGTCTTTCCACAGCTACCCCTGGTCTCTATCATAGTTGTTACCTGGCGTCTATTTAGATAGAGTACACAGAAAACAAGAGGCCAGAGAGCAACACTGGCCTTTCCACAAGCATGCTAACCACAGGTTCTTTAAAATGTCTGGTTTTGTTCCTTGAATCAAGGGGGCTGGGTGGTTCATACTGGATCATTTTCTTTCTTTCTTTCTTTTCAAGGCAGGCTATTGCTCTGTTGTCCAGGCTGGAGTGCAGTGACACAATCACAGCCTACTGCAGCCTCGACATCCCACGTTCAAGTGATCCTCCCACCTTAGCCTCCTGAGGTCAGGGTGCCAGCATGGTACCTGATCCACAGGCACAGGCACATGCCACCACCACGCCCAGCTAATTTTTTAAATTTTTTGTAGAGATGGGGTCTCACTATATTGCCTAGGCTGGATTATTTTCTCTCAAGAGAAAATCCATGTCAGAATCAAGATTTGCTCAAGGTTATAACCAATAACCCATGATGTGAGAGGCCCATGTGAAGAACAGCCTCAAGCCACTGGCCCCGAAGGCTTCCCGATAGGCCGTGGGGATAGAGAAGCAGCAGCAGCCGTGGGATCCACCAAAGAGATACTCACGATGTGGGGAGACTGCCGGCTCATCCCAATCACTGTCCGGTTGATCCTTCTCAGCAGCCGTTCCATTATAAGCTGAATGTGCATTGCAGTAGCGCCCTGTGGGAACACAGGATTTGATTCCATTCCTTCTGACTCAGTTTCACTTTTCTTAAGGGAACTTCAGATAGATGAGTTTTGTCTTTAAATCTCTTTCTGGCTCTTCCCTACAAAGCAATCTCTTGTCCAAAAGTGGAAAATGGTCTCAGAATAGTACAAAACTTTATGAAGAAAATAATTGAAAATGATCAGTCGTAACATTTAAAAGATGAATGTGGGTGTGCAGGGACGAGTGCCTTCCTACTAACTCAGATCGCTCAGGTTCACTGAGAGCTCATTGTGGCCACTGACTCAACAAATAGTTTTGGGGGACCTCCATTAGCATGATGTATTCTGTTCTGAGGTTGAGCAGATTAGAATTGCCCAGGTCAATTAGACACATGTGTGGGACATTAAAGGCAAAAATACAAAGCTCTTACCACTTTCTGTGTTATAGGGGGAAAAAACAAGAAATTCAAGTCAAGGGAATTGTGATGGAGTAAATGTTTGTGTCTCCTCCAAATTCATATGTGAAGCCCTAACCCCCATCGTGATGGTATCAGGAGATGGGGCTCTTGAGTTGTAATGAAGGTTAGATGAGGTCATGAGGGTGGGGCCCTGGACTGATGGGATGAACATGCTTTTAGTAAATGAGATATCACAGATATCGATCTCTCTCTCCACCGTGTAAGCACACAGCAAGAAGGCAGCTGTCTGCAAGCCGGGAAGAAAGACCTCACCAAAACTGAACCATGCTGGCCCCCTGATCTCAGACACTCAGTATCCAGAACTGTGAGAAAATAAATGTCTGTTGTTTAAGCCACGCAGTCTGTGGTATTTTGTTATGGAAGGCTGACTGAGCAGACTAATGCAAGGATGATTTTGTATTCTGACTCTGTCATGTGTGACTTTGAGCAATTATTCAACTTCGCTGAGCTTGCAGTTTTCATAGCTGCAAAAGGGAGATAGTAACAGTTTTCTTATAGGAATTAGTAGGGCTGATGTAGTCATCAAGTGTACTGAATAAATGTGTATTCCTTCTTTTACCTTCTTTCCCTTTTTTGTAGCTAGATATTACACTCATTTGGCTCCGACTTACCCATATGCAACTTGACTTTTCATAGCCTCTATCTGTCCTTGCTTTATGATAGATATTTTGAAACTCCTGCTTAATGCTTCAAATAACTAAATCATTGCGCTCTCTCTCTCTATATATATATATATATTTTGCTTCTTAACATTTTATTAATTTTTACAAATTTAACTGGCAAAGACAGTACTTATCCAGCATGTACAACATGAAGATTTGATACACGTAATCATGTAATGGTTTCCATGGTCAAATTAACACATCCATTGCCACCCCTGCCATACATTAGATTCCCAGAACTTGCTCATCCTATAACTGACACTTTCTACCCTTTGACCAACGTCTCCCCATCCTGCCCCCTAATGCCCTGCAGCCCCTGGTAAAGAATGTTCTACTTTCTGCTTCTACGAGTCTAACTTTGTTAGATTTCACATAGAAACCAGATCAGGATGGCTACAGGAATTTTTTTAATTTCAATAGTCTTTGGGGTACAAGTGGTTTCTGGTTACATGGATGAGTTCTTTATTGGTGACTCCAAGATTTTCGTGCACCCATCACCCAAGCAGTGTACACTGTACCCAATGCGTAGTCTTTTATCCCTCACTCACCTCCTAGCTTTTCCCCAGAAAGTTCACCAAGTCCATTGTATCCATGGTATCACTCTTTTTTTTTTTTTTTGAGACGGAGTCTCGCTCTGTCGCCCAGGCTGGAGTGCAGTGGCGCGATCTCGGCTCACTGCAAGCTCCGCCTCCTGGGTTCATGCCATTCTCCTGCCTCAGCCTCCCGAGTAGCTGGGACTACAGGCGCCCACCACCACGCCTGGCTAATTTTTTGTATTTTTAGTAGAGATGGGGTTTCACCGTGTTAGTCAGGATAGTCTCTATCTCCTGACCTTGATATCCACCCACCTCGGCCTCCCAAAGTGCTGGGATTACAGGCGTAAGCCTCTGCGCCCGGCCGCATTGTATCACTCTTAAGCCTTTGCAGTCTCATAGCTTAGCTCCCACTTATAAGTGAGAACAAGTAATATTTTATTTTTCATTCTTGAGTTACTTCACTTAGAATAATGGCCTCCATCTCCACCTAAGTTATTGCAAAAGATGTTATTTTGTTCCTTTTTATGAGTGAGTAGTATTCCATGATGCATATATACCACACTTTATCCACTCATTGGTCAATGGGCACTTAGGTGGGTTTCATATCTTTGCTATTGCAAATTGTGCTGCTATAAACAGGCACATGCATGTGTCTTTTTCATATAATGACTTATTTTCCTTTGGGTAGATGCCCAGGAGTGGGATTGCTGGATTGAATGGTAGTTCTACTCTTAGCTCTTTAAGGAATCTCTATACTGTTTTTCATAGTTGTTGTACTAATTTACAACTGTTACAGCAGTGTAACAGCGTTCCCTTTTCACCACACCCATGCCAACATCTATTGTTTTTTGATTTCTTAATTATGGTATGGCTATATGTATTTTCATTACAGTATCAAGTATTTCAGGTCCACCCTCCCTCTCTGCTTCCCTCTGTCCCTTCCTTCTTCTCTCCCTCCTTCACTTTTTATTAGTCATTTACTTGTTTCCCATTTCCCTGAATGAAAGTGATTCATAAAATCAGCCTCTCCAGGAGATGCTGCTTTCACTCCATTTACATAGCATTTCCTTAGTGTGGCCCTAAATAGTTGTGCACATCACATGCTGTGCCCTGTGGGGAGGTATGAAATGAATAAGGCTCCTCTGAGCCTTTAGAGATTTCTATTGTGGAGGTGGAGGTGAGTGGCACATAAATTTTTTTTTTTTTTTGAGACTGAGTCTCACTCTGTTGCCCTGGCTGGAGGGCAGTGGCGCGATCTTGGCTCACTGCAACCTCTGTCTCCTGGGTTCAAGCAATTCTCCTGCCTCAGCCTCCTGAGTAGCTGGGGTTACAGGTGTGCACCACCAAGCCCAGCTAATTTTTGTATTTTTAGTAGAGATGGGGTTTTACCATGTTGGTCAGGCTGGTCTCGAACTCCTGATCTCGTGATCCACCCGTCTCGGCCTCCCAAAGTGCTGGATTACAGGTGTGAGCCACTGCACCCAGCCAGGACATACATTTAAATAAGTATAACACAAGGATCCCCTAGAAGGTGGGCTCCTGGGGGTAGGGTGCTTGCTTCTCTAGTTCACTACCACAGTCCTAGCCGATCCCAGTGCCTGGAGCATAAGAGCAGCTTCCCAAGGATTTGTGAGCTGCATTCATAACTCAGTGTACAAAGTGATAAAATCCTCAAAAGAAACTCAAGGGGAGCATGGAAACAATGAGTAGAATTTGGCAGGACCACACCAGAGACAACTTCACAGAGGCGCTTACTGCAGCTGGACTTGAAAGAAAGAGGACAATTCCAAAACAGAGCTGTAGGGAGAGGAGGGAATCCTGCAATGTTTAAAAAAATAAAACAAAATGCAGGAAGAACAAATGTCAGTAATTAGAGCTTTAAATTAACTAAGGAGATGAGAGGACAAAGGAAGAGATAATTGAGCTAGTGCACAATATTTCAAAATGTATATGGAGGAAAAAAAAGTACCACCATGATGGACAAAAATGACTGAACTTACTACTTTACCAGAGCTCCAAAATCGATAATTTTGATTGTCTCTGCGCATTACAGGGAACATAATATTGGGAAGACCAAAATAAATAAAAAGTTAATTTAAATATCCTTGCACAGGATTTAAATACATTCAAGTCATTTCCAAAGAGTCTTTCTGGGTGGTGAGAAGGTTGGTAGAGATGTTACGTATTAAAAAATAGGGTCAGAAGTGGAAGAGACCTAAGAGGTCATCTAGAACAATTCCTACATACAACGGACTAGACTAGGAAACTGAGGCACTGAGATATTTGCCTGAGGACAAACAGCTACAGAGTGGTAATACTGGGACTAGAATCCAATGCTCCGATTCCTGTGTTTCACATTAACTGTGGATCATAAACATAGGATTTCTAGAACACTGGATCCCTGGCTAAACCAATGTGCCAGACACATTGTTGCCAAATTCATAGGGCGTGGAGCTTTACTGTATTATATTAAGGAATTACTGAGTTATAAGAGTTACTTTTTTAAAAGTATTGTGTTTATGACATGATTGGTCACATTTATGATTTTGGCGCAAAGTCCTTGGTTAGGAACAAAATCTCCAATTGCTTTGGGAAAACGTATTCCATTTTATAATGTGGTTTCTATAAACATACTTAATTTAAAAAGGGGGAATGATCATAATGAATACATATCAAGTGATGAGCAGTGTAAAGAGTAAGTGGGCTACAGGGGCTTCGAGAAGTGGAGGGACAGAGACTGGGGGAGTAGCTAGAGATGGCAATGGTAGCCTCACATACTTCTGAGGCTGCAGTATGCATTCACAGAAATGTAGACTTCCCAGTGCAAACCATGAGCACGAGAAAAGGTGGGCTGTGTTCAAACGGTGGTGGACCCTGACAGGTGAACTAACAGTTTGGCTATGGGAAAAGGTGTAGTATTCTTACCCTTTGGTAGGACAGAATCCCAAGATACTGGAAAGATAAAAGAGTTTAGGTGAAGACAAAGAGTGGTTGTCCTGTTCTGTGGGAACACCTGTGCCACGAAACCACCACAGACGTGGTGAGTATAATTTGCGGCAAGATGCCTTTTTTTTCCCTCAGCCCCCAACTGTTCGAGTGAACACATTCTGCAAAGTTCTCCAGCTTCCTGTGTGGGGGCTCTGCTAGGCCTATGGGCTGTACTATTTCTAAGACATGGTGAATCCAGACAGGTTCAGCCCTGTGTTTTCTTTTTTTTTTTTTTTTTTTGAGATGGAGTCTCACTCTGTTTCCCAGGCTGGAGTGCAGTTGCACAATCTTGGCTCACTGCCTCCCAGGCTCAAGGGATTCCCCTGCCTTGGCCTCCCAAGTGGCTGGGATTACAGGCGCGGGTTACCATGCCCAGCTAATTTTGGTATTTTTAGTAGAGATGGGGTTTCACCGTGTGAGCCAGGTTGGTTTCGATCTCCTGACCTTGTGATCCGCCCACCCTGGCCTCCCAAAGTGCTGGGATTACAGGCGTGAGCCACTGCGCCTGGCCTTAGCCCTATGTTTTCAAGAGGGATGGGGGCCAGGTCACAGAGAAAACACAAGATGAGAAAACATCATTTCCACTAGGTTCCAGAGAAAGCATCAATGTCCAAGAGGATATGGAAATGAGAACTTCTCAGCAGCTCAGAAATAACCAGTTGTTAGGCATCAGAAGATAAGAAGGAAGAGGTTTCCACATAAAAACAGAGAGGCCTTTGATTCTTTATTTATTATTATTATTATTATTATTATTTTATTTTTTTTTTTTTTAGAGACAAAGTCTTACTAAGTTGCCCAGGCTGGTCGGTCTTGAACTCCTGGGCTCAAGTGATCCTCCTGACTTGGCCTCCCAAAGTGCTGGGATTACAGGCCTGAGCCACTATGCCCAGCCAGGTCTTTGATTCTTAAGAATAGTCACAGGGATCTCAACAGTGGGCACACTGGGCAAGCCAGGAAAATCAGCCTGTGGAAGGTCCCAGCAGTAATCTGACTTTGCACTGGAGGCTCTGGCCTCCCTAATTATCTCTAAAATGGGCACAGCCTGCCCTAATACCTGAGTTGGAAACTACCTGAGAATAGGAAGGCCATGGAGTCGCTCCTGTCTGGTGCAAAGGGGCCAGTGTGAGCTCCGTGCAGCATCAGTGATGACTCAACTCACCACATCCTTCCTGTCCAGCACCTCCAGGATGTTGCTCAGAAGCTGCGAGCTTGCCTCGTGGTCAGGCTTGCTGGAGTTGTCATCTAACTGGCCACTGAGCTGGTCTGTCAGCAGCGGCAGCAGCACTTCTCTGCACTCTGAGAAGGAAAACACACACAGCTCACACGCAGCAGTGCCACCTCCTGAACCACCTGTCTCCTTCCTGCAACGCTCTCCAGTACCAGCAGCTCTAAGCTCTGCAATCAGCCCTGCAGGAAGGCAGCCCCTCCAGCTCACCCAGGAACACCTAGTTGTAGGTGTGGAACTCCACTCTTGTTCAGTTTGCAGATGAATGAATTAAAAAAAAAAAAAAAAAGAACTTCGCCTTTGCAACTGGATTATACAAACTAAGAAAATGACCCTTCCCACAGGTAAAGGTGGGAACTTAGCAAAATGTTTAAATTATTTAACAATTTCTCTAGCTTTTAAAAATGCCAACCTAATACATGAAATTGAGGTCATATGAAACAAATAAAACCAAACAAGTTATAGATTTTTTTTTTTCAAATTTTTTTTTCACCTAATGGAGAAAATGTACTGAAAGAAGTTCCTATAAATACTAAGCTTCCCTAGTACATTTCAATGACATTCTGCTCATGTCTGTGCAGGCATGTGGATTTCAGAAAGTAAGATATGACATACTATGTCTTCTGAGATCTTTGCTATTGTAACACATTTTATAATGAATTCAGGTACTCTGAATGCTACAGAAATGACTGTTAACAGTGATCACACTCTAATTAGAACTATCGAGTGCATGCTTGCTCTTCTGCTCAAACACCTTATCCTTACTATCTCAATTACCTTTTCTGTATCCTTAAAAAGTTATCAAAGCATATTAAAATGTTTAGTAATAATTTACTTTGGTAATAAATGTTTTCTACTTAAGAGCATTCACTAGCTTTTGGCAGGCATTACCTCTACCTCCAATTGTGTCTTAGGAACATTTGCAATTTCTAAGTGCAAATTCATAGGTCAGAAAATATCAGAGCCCAAGGAGGCTACTGATACGATCTAGCTCAAGTCCTTCCTTCCACAGAACTGGAAGCTGAGACTTGCAGAAGGCCACTCATTTGTCCAGTGACATAACTAGCCAGGGACAAGGCCAGGAAGGCTCTCCCACCAATGATCCACTCAATTCCAACGTTGAGGAATCCTGCTGGTCTTCAGATCTCCAGGCAATATACATACGTAACGTGAGGTCACCCTCTCTGAGCCCCTGACCACAGAGACCAAAAGAAGTCTCCGCAGCGACCTCACTCCAGCAAGTCTTGAGTTGATTAGGAAGGCCCAGGTGCTGGACCTCCTGTTTAATACCAGCTTTGGGACAGAACTACTTGGCTATTTCCTAGACTCTACTTACAAAGTGAAAAGTATTTTATCAGTGTAAGAGTTTTTTCCCTTCATGCCCCACTTTTCTCCCAGCAGAATACTAGTCATCTGGCTTCCACCAGCCTACCCCCTAAAGAAAAGGCTTGGCCAGGTGCAGTGACTCACGCCTAAAATCCCAGCACTTTGGGAGGCCACGGCAGGTGGATCACCTGAGGTCAGGAGTTTCAGACCAGTTGGCCAACATGGTGAAACCTTGGCTCTACTAAAATTACAAAAAAAAATTAGCCGGGTATGATGGCACACACGTGTAGTCCCAGCTACTTGGGAGGCTGAGGCAGGAGAATCACTTGAACCAGGGAAGCAGAGGTTGCAGTGACCCAAGATTGTGCCACTGCACTCCAGCCTGGGCAACAGAGCGAGACTCCATCTCAAAAAAAAGGAAAGAAAAGAAAAGAAAAGGCTTGCTTTATCATGTTTGCCAATTTCCCTGGTGTATCTGGTGTAAATCCTTCCACCATGGTCAATTTCCAGCTACTAATGTGATATCACTGAACGTGGGGTTGAGAAGGGATGCATGTAACCAGTTCTCCTGTGGGATCCAGCACATTGCTGCTTCCCTATCCCCTGGTTTTTAAGGTCATGCAATAAGTATAGGTTAAAGAAGAATTTCTTTTAAAACGGTCATCGTTTTCCCACTTGCTTGTTACTTCCTGAGGTTCCTGTTTTAAAGACAAAATTCTCTAATTAATGAACCTCTTGCAGATTGTTCTAATTAAAGATTAAAGAACACATGATTTTGCTCTTTCAGGAACTGTTGGAAATACTGAGCTTACTTTAGAATCTCCTTAAAACTGCTCTCCGAGGAGGGCCTTACATACCAGCAAACAACTGGCAAGGATATTAATGACATTTCTTTTTTTTTTTTTTTTTTTGAGACGGAGCCTGCCTCCTGTTCGGCCCATGCTGAGTGCTCAGTGGCCGGATCTCGCTCACTGCAAGCCTCTGCTCCCGGTTTTACGCCATTCTCCTCCTCAGCCTCCCAAGTAGCTGGAACTACAGGCGCCCGCCCACCTCGCCCAGCTAGGTTTTTTTTGTACTTTTTAGTAGAGACGGGGTTTTCACCCGTGTTAGCCAGGATGGTCTTGATCTCCTTGACCTTGTAATCCGCTGCTCCCGGCCCTCCAAAGTGCTGGGAGATTACAGACTTGAGCCACCGCACGCCACAAACATTTTTTAAAAAGGAAAGGTCAAGTACTGACTTGGCACAGTGGCTCACACCTGTCCATCCAGCACTTTGGGAGGCCGAGGTGGGCAGATCATTTGAGGTCAGGAGGTTTGAAGGCCAGCCTGGCCCACATGGTGAAACCATCTTTACCAAAATACCAAAAAAAAAAAAATTAGTTGGGTGTGGTGGTGTGCCACCTGTAATCCACGCTACTCAGGAGGCTGAGCAGGGAATCACTTGAATCTGGGAGGGGAGAGGTTGCAGTGAGTCGAGATGGCCCCCAACTGCACTCCAGCCTAGGCAAGACAGCGAGACTCCGTCTTAAAAGAAAAAAAAAACAAAGCTCAAGTGTTAGCTGCAGAAATGGGGCTGGCATTTCAGCACACAGCAGTTTGTTTAATCCTTTGAGATGGAGTCGTGCTCTGTCACCCAGGCTGGAGTGCAATGGTACGATCTCGGCTCACTGCGACCTCACGCAGCAATTTTCGAAAGAGACTTACCTGACTGTCGAAAAAGAGCACTCTCTACTATCTTGGTCATGCAGTTAAGTTTCTGCCGAACCAGCTGGTTGTCAGGAATGCTTTGAATGAATTTGCAGAAGAGCACACTGGAAGAGAAACCACAGGGTTAGGAGCGTCTTCGTTCTGCCAAGCTGAAGGCATCATTATAAACTTTTCTCCTCCACTCTGAGATACGGGCATGGAGAGATTTACATGGAAAACTACAAAATGACCAGAGAGTTTATGACATGGCAGCAAGGGAGACTTTATCCTCACTTACTGGAGGGCTCTGCCTTAGAGCTGAGTATTTACATTGCCAAAGAACACCCATGTCCATCATCGTTTTCCAGTCCTGCCTTTGTGAAAATGGCTTTCTTGGCTAACTCCACTCTCATGTTGACTGTAGTCTGACTTTGCACTGCTGGGATACTTAGGGGTAGGGCTGGAAGCACGTCATTATACACTATCTTTTGTAGTCGATTTCATGTCTACATGTCTTGTTTTCCCAGAGAAAGTGCAAACCTCTCTCAGGGCAGGTTTTGGTTGTTCTTTTGCATCTTCCACAGAACTGAGCACCAAAAGGTATTCAGTTAATACTTCTTAGAAAAATAAAAGCCAGGTGTAGCAGCCCAGGCTCCAGCCAAGCAGGGGAGCTGTTTCTTTGTTAGAGTTAAGGAACAAAATTTTGTTTGGCTATTTACCTGAGCTCAACAGGATCAAATACAAGTTTGACGTCATTAATTATGCTAGGAAGGTACTTCAAAGCTGCCCCCTGTAAGAAAAACACCGAAGGAAAATTCAGTTGCCAGGCAAGACAAATACAGCATTTACTGCTTCATCCCAGGAAGAAAAGGCTGTGCTTGGAACTTAAATAGGGAACTGGATACAGATGCCCTTACAATAAAAAGGAAAGCTGCCATTGCTCTACACGATCTCCTAAAATGCTTTTCCTGAAGATGCAAGGGGATACAGCTTTCTGGTTTCTACTGCCAGCAGGCTCTGTCCACTTGGAGTTCATTTCGCTGCCGAAGGAGGTGGTTAAATTCTTTTTTTGTTTTTGAGACGGAGTCTCACTCTGTCCCCCAGGCTAGAGTACAGTGGCGCCATCAAGGCTCACTGCAAGCTCTGCCTCCCGGGTTCACGCCATTCTCCTGCCTCAGCCTCCCGAGTAGCTGGGAATACAGACACCCGCCACTATGCCCAGCTAATTTTTTTGTATTTTTAGTAGAGCCGTGTTAGCCAGGATGATCTTGATCTCCTGACCTTGTGATCCGCCCGCCTCGGCCACCCAAAGTGCTGGGATTACAGGCGTGAGCAACCGCGCCTGGCCAGGAGGTGGTTAAATTCTTGAAGTCTCTCTCACAACATGGCCATAAAGAGCAAAAAATAAATATTAATAGTAAAGTTCACATTTGAGTCTTCAGGGATTATGTATTTCATATATTTTTTAAATTACGATAACAAAGACGGTGACTTTACACTTCCGGGTAAAATGAGGGACAAAAAATAAAAAAAATTGTCACCTATAGTAGCATTGGGATCAGTTTGCTGAAATCATGGGGTCAAACACGGTTCACAATGGCCTTTCAAGGGATGTCTAATTGCGTAGCATGTCCTTGGCAAACTGACATTTGAAAATACGAGCATCTGTAGAAGTTAAAATGGGCTTGTTTTTTTCCCTTTATTTTCTGTAAATCATACTAAAATTCATAAGCTATCCAGGAACCATGATTCATTCTGTTTCTCCCCCATGATATGGCCAATTCGAAGTGGTCCCAAAACATCATTACCACAGCCTAAGAAGAGTTACCCATGATGACGTCAGGCTGACCTTGATCTTGACGGCTTCCTCCAGAGGCCTGTCCATCAGCATATTGAAAGCAAGAAATAACTGGCGGATTGAATCATTAAACTCATCTCCATCTTTGCTCTGGCCATAAAATCTTAACAGGGAAAAGAGAAAAGCAGTTGGACTTTCCATTGTTAAAAGAAATTTTAAAATAGATTTGTTGCCTCCCCGACTTCTCCTTTACTGTATCACCCTAATCATTCTGACTCACCTAATCAAGCCCCAGTCATCTGAAGTTTCGGGCAATGGGTTAGAGAAGCTGCTGAACCCAGAAAGGCTCTGATCCCCAGCCCAGCCTACAAAACCATTTGTTCCAGTCTAGCCACTGAACTGCCCATGCTGATGCTGGCCTGCTCCATCACAAGGGCCTTCCAGGACAAGACCCCTTAGTCTTCACTGATACGTGCTTGCCTTCTTTGAAGTACTATACTTGTCTTCAAAAGATCTGTCCATCAACTCAAAAGTGGGTTCTCTTAAGTAGAAATCAAGAGATATTTGGGCACTTTCCAAGAAACACAAAAGTCCCAAATGAAAGTGCATATGCACATATAATAGGTGGCAATTTCACTATTAACTGGTCAAGAATAGGATGGTTTGAATTTAGAATTTCATGCACACACTCAAACACACACACGTATGTTTAAATTCGTCTCCTCCATTCACCTATACCCATAGTACCCAAAGAATATGAACTTCACTGAGATAGTTAATCAGACAGTTAATGGTAATTCTCAATTCATCCATTTTATAGAACTAGAAAAGAACTTTATTTGCAATTTAGTCCCCAAAGTATCTAAAAATTAACACACCTACAACAGAACTCACTTGATTTCCCTGCTCAACTCTAAGTATTCCAAATGTCAGCAAACAGCACCGCCTCGAACCTAGATCCACCCCAAACCTAGATGTTATCTATGCTCCTTCCCTTTCTCTCATTGCCCCATCAAACCCAACAGGAAATCCTACGAGCTCGAATCTGTCCATTCTCTCCCTCTGCCTCTGAGATGGGGCTGGAGTGTCTCACACTTGAACCACAATGGCCTCTTAAAGTGGTCACTGGCTTCTACCTTTAGCCTTCAATAATCCATTGTCCATGTGGGAGATGAGATGATCATTTAAAATATAAGCCCGATTGTATTACTTCTCTAGTCATCCCCCAGTGACTTCCCACTACACCTGGAATAAAATCCAAGTTCCTCACTATGGCCTACAAGGCCCCACATCATTTATGATTTGCTGGCCACTCCCGCTCTCTCTCCTGACACTGGATTCTCGTTACTCCTCATGCATCCATGCTTGGTGCCCCATAGGTCCCTGCCTGGGGCACGTCCTGCTTCCACTAACCCTTTCCTGACATCTCTGGAGGCTGCTTCTTCATCTTTCAGTCTCAGCTCACATGATACCACCTCCTCCTCCACTCAGTTCAGCTCAGGCAGCCTTCCCTGTTGGATCCACCACTCCAACACCGCCCTCATTTACAGGGTGATTTCTTTACTCCTTGCCTCCCTGAACTCCATGGAACCCACACACACCATCACAGTGGGAGCCTGGTCACCAATGCAGAACACTTGGCACTCTATGTAGGTGACTTAATTTTTTTTTTTTAAGTACTAATGGTAGGGAGCTGAGGGATTAAGATCAAGCTTCTCAACATCCTATTTGGGGCAATTTACAATTTCTTCTTGGTGTTTTGCTGATTGAGGTGAACTCCAGCCAGGTAATGAGCTCATAAGAGAGATTTAAACTCTGATGAAGGCAACAGGGGGACCAGGGACCAGGTGACATACCACTGCAGCCTCCAGACATGGCCAGTGCACTGAAGTGATCATTAAATCTAAGCAACCAGAGGACGCACATTGCCAGTCTCTTCCCCAGCTCAGGTTCTTCTTTAATAACATATAAGGGAAAAGTAACCACACGCAGGCCATCACAGATGAGGTGCAATGAAGCAACTCTCCTAGTCAATTTCATGGGTCCTCTGTCACCCTAACCTTTCATTTTCCACACTCACCATCCTTTACTGTCCTATCTGGTGTCTAGAATGAGGGCTCTGATGTGCTTTGACAAATGAGGAGGAAATGAACTAGTGAACCATCCATAAGAAAATACATTTTAATTTCACACTCAGGTTTTCTTTCTGTAGTTTAAAGGTGATACTGATTTTTGGACATCAGGGTTTACTATACAAACAAACTTTTGGGTTAGAGGATGTTCCCTTGGTAGAACGCTTCATGCCCACCACCACACCACACCACACACCACCAACCAACACACTACCACACCAATCCTCTTAGAAACCAAACGGACTCCCGTTCCCTCCTTTCTTTTGAGATGCGGAGTCCGCTCCTCACCACACACCACGCACCACGCTTCACCTACAACCTCCGTCTTCGGTGTTCAAGCCTGGATCTCGCTCGCTGCTCTCCAGCCTCCTGAGTAGCTGGGACTACCAGGTGCCCACCACACCGCTGGCTAATTTTTGTATTTTTCAGTAGAGATGGGGTGTTCACCATATTGGCCAGGCTGTCTCGCGAACTCCTGACCTTGTGATCCACCCACCTCAGCCTCCCAAAGTGCTAGGATTACAAGGCATCAGTCACACGCCCTGTCAAAAGAAGACCTTCTGAAAAGAAAAGCAAAATACAAGAGACTGTGCCATAAATTATGTGTGGGAAAATACTGCTCACTTCCACCTGGGAAGGAGGAATGGTCATTCAGCCAGATGGGTTTTAAAGTCATTAAACATTTTTAAAAAACAATTAGAAAAGTATATATTCATTTAAAAATCAAAAAAATAATAAAAAATAGCAAATAAAACATAGAATAATAAAATATAACTAAAATGCAAAAGAATAAAATATAAACGGAATCGAAATAAAAAAATTTAACAAGCCTGCAACCTTCCCGACACTTTTGTCACTATTCGACATTTCAGACCGGGTATGTGCCGGGTGGCCCACGCGCCTGCACTCCAGCAGCGGGAGCGGGCGGCAGAGGAGGGCAGGCCTGGGCCCAGGGAGTGTTGGAGGACGCGAGAGGCGTGGCGCTGACATAGACAGCACCTGCTCCTTGTACTAAATAATAAAATTAGCCTGGCGCCACCTGGTGGCTGCACACCACCCTTTGGCTCCCAGCTACTTGGTCGCGACTGCGAGTGTGCACAAGATTGCTCAACGCTGGGAAGCCAGACGCTAGCAGTCGACCTGAGATCGGGCGCCACTGCCACTCTCGCCCTGTGACAGAGCCACGAACCTCTGTTCAAACAAAAACAAAAAAACCCTAAAACAACCCAAACAGAAACACACAACCAAAATCCACTTCTTAGCATGTTACTCTATCCGTCTCTCCTCACTACCACCATACGGCTTCACATCCGTCATATTCATTCAAAAGGAAAATCACTCACCCTGTACTCGTGCTTTACTTTGGTTCTTATCCATCATAACGAATCCGTCTCGGAGCCCAGCGCAGTGCGGCTCACGTCTGTACACCCCAAGCACTCTCGGCAGCCCGAGGTGGGGGACACGCAGGTCAGCACGACGGACGCACCGCATCCTGGCTACACATGTGAAACCATCCCCCAGAAAAAATTTACGCGGCATGGTGTATGCGCCTTGTAATCCAGCCTACTCGGGAGGCTCACAGCAGCAGAACGCTTGAACCTGTGAAAGTCGGGAGGCGTGGAGTTGCAGTGAGCGGCGAGATCATAGCCACCTCGCACTCAGCTGGACGAAAGAGCAATGACCCCGTCTCCAAAAAAAAAAAAACAAAATCTAGAATCTATCATGGTCCTCTTTCCTCATTAATATGCCCTACATTTGAAATGACTGAATGTACATACTTGCACGTTCATTTTTGTCATACCTGATAGATTTATTTTTTCCATTAGATACATTTCTAGATGAGGTATTACTGGACAAATGTGACACTTTTTCCTTTCCTTAAAATTTTTCTTTTTTGTTTTTATTCATACTGTCTATTTTTATCCTGAAGAATTTATATCTCCATTAGCATCAAAATTGAAATACAGGGCCAATTTTTGCCCAATATCATCAAAGGACAAAGATTTTTAATCTTTTTCAAATGTATAGGTAAAAGATGGTATGTGTGCATGTGTGTGTGTGCATGTGTGTGTATCAAAATTCTTTTGATAGTATGAAATTTTTTTTAATGTATTGACCATTTAAATTTTTCTTTTGTAAATTACCATTTTTGTTTTCTATTTTGGCTATTTATCATTCTTTTATTGATTTATAAAAGCTTTAACTGAGAAAGCTATTAACCTTTCATCTGTACTATATGTAACCTTTTTGCAGGTTGTTTGCCTTTTTTTATTTTTTTCAATAAACAAAGTTTCTTTTAAAAATACATATGCTTAAATCTACAAACCTTTTATTTCTTCCTTAGAAACACATTTTAACAGTTGGGAAATACAGCTATTTCTGAAGGGTAGGAAAGTTACTGGGGTTGTGAGTGTTCCCTGCAAAGGTACGTGCTCTTTTGTGGTTTCTTCTATTTTTGATGGAACTGTTATGCTAGAAATCCAAACAGGGAATAATCCTATCTTTAGTGCTTAGCTGCCCAGGTAGCTAAGCACAGTGTCAACAAGGAAACACTCATCTCAGGAAACATCTCCCCCGAGATGACTGCTTCTTCTGCTAGTGACAGCAGATCATGATCCCAGATTTGCACACTCAATATTGTCATGAAGTCATCTGCTGTATTAGGTACAATCTTGCTATAGGAACCTGCTTCCCCAAGTCCTGAGGTCATTACTGCCCCAGAATTTTGCTGAACTTCTCATGAGTCTTCTCCAACAGAGACACAGCCCACCTCCATCTTCAGCCCTGCAGCTCTGAAATAAGGCAATTCTAAGAGCTAACTGCTCACAGAGCTGAACACCAGTGTGCAGAGTCAGGGAAAAACTACACAGAGTGACGGCTCATAATCTAAACATCTTCACTGCAGTTAACATTACCTCAAGTAGAGCACTCGAGATTGGATGATGAATCTAAACAAGTACTTCAAGGCTTTCAATGCAGCAAAAAGCAATTCAGTCTTGCTGGAGTCATCCGCATTAGCCACATAGAAGTTCAGTACCTTGGAGAGTTTCCTTAGAAGAATGACAAAGAAAAATTAAGCTGATGAGCAACAGGATACTCTGAGGCTTGGGTAAGTTATCTAAGAGGGGAACGCGGCATACTGGAAGTAGAAGTCATAACTAATTATATCTTCTAGAATATGCCCTGAACAGCAAAATTAACTCTTTTCCAATTAAGTGTCCTCACCTGCCATCTAGGTTTGGAACTACCCTTCTGCTGAGAAATACTAGAAAAGGTTTCTTTCCCTTTGTGGGATTAAACAGGAGGGTTATGAAATGAAATGGTCGAAGTGACCCAAATTGCTAGGATATTTTAATCTCTGGTATGCAATTCTGACATCTTCAGATGCTCCCATAAAGGAGGGATTATGCCTGCCTACAGGAGTTGACTTAAAAGAAGCCTAATTCCTTTTATTCTGCCTCAATCCCTTGGGATCCATCAATATGGAGTCAGAAACTTCATGGAGTGAAGAAAGAGGAGCTCAGTCAGACTCTCTGGAACATTCATGGTTCTAAGTATTCAATAGATAAAACTGTTCTGGGGTTTTAGGTTGCTCTTTGTGTCTTTCTAGAGTTTTTGGGCTAGGAATGGTCTTCATTTTGTGCTATCCCTTAGACTTTGGAGGGCACTGATATTTTAATCTTAAACCTTCCTTCTGGGAATCTTTGAGCTTTCCTATAATAATAACTATTATTATTATTATAGCTATAGTTATATATATCACATATATAACTATAACAATTATTATTATTATTATTTAGACGGAGTCTCTCTGTCGCCCAGGCTGGAATGCAGTGGCATGATCTCTGTCTCCCGGGTTCAAGCACCTGGCCGAATTATTATTTTTAAAAAAGGAAACATATAGCATTGATCGAATCTTGCAAGTAAACCCAGATTACTACCACCTGGAGTGCTGTATTTGGCTCGGTTTGATCACAGTGATGGGATTTCCTCATCTGTAGCTACCGCCCACCTGGATGTGAGGCTCCTGGTTGGAACGGCCACCGTCACTGGTGTACTCACTGACGGGTCACTGGGCAGCAATTTACATGATGTGGCCTAAGCCACTGTCATAAGAAGATCATCGACAAATCCAGCTACATTCCTATCACTATCACATTCTGCACAATAACTGGAAGGCAACGGGGTGGGTGTGCCAGGTACATACAATGCCATGGTGAGTGCTCTGGGGAGGAATACGGAGTGGACTTTAGTTGCTTTCCTTAGTCAGGGGCCCATAAACCAATGATAGAAGGCAGGCTGCACTACGGAAAAGGTAGAGACCACTGCCTCTTATGCAAAAGACAGGAAAAAGAAATCTTCTCATATCCTGTAAGTAATACATTTTACAAAGCATTTGTGGTACAGGGTTGAGGGCACGACCTTTTCTTCTATCAAACTTGGTCTTGTTTAATTCATGGTTTGATCTCCTTGATTCCCCACACCAATCCCACTGACATCCAACCCCTAAGATCCTGAGTTGGGTCATTTGTCATTAATTTTGCTCTTGATTTTTTTTTTTTTTTTAAATTTTCGTTTTTAGATACAGGGTCTTGCTCTGTCGCTCAGACTGGAATGCAGTGGCATGATCACAGCTCACCGCAGCCTTGACCTCCATGGGCTTAAGCAATTATCTTGCCTAAGCCTCTCAAGTAGCTAGGACAACAGGTGTGCGCCACCACACCCGGCTAACTTTTTAATTTTTTGTAAAGACAGGTTCTCGTTATGTTGCCTAGGCTGGTCTTGAATTCCTGGCCTCAAGTAATCCTCCTGCCTTAGCCACACAAAGTGCTAGGATTGCAGGTATGAGCAACAATGCCTGGCCTATTCTGGACTCTTAAGGAGATTTCACCTTATCCAGAAGGAAGGCCCTGATCTTAGCCCCCTTTCCACAGTTAGAATATTTAGATGGTTCCCTTTTTCCACCAAGAAGCTTAGAATAGAGTTCTGCCTTACTAGGCACATTTACTGAACACAGGTCCCTCTCGTTTCTCAACAATCCAGCCCTAAAAGTACAAATCCAAAGATCCAACAACACGCAGTTCCCTCAGATCATACTTACACGTATGCCAAAGTGGCACTGAAGTGCTTGTAAATGTAAGTTTCAAGTACAGGATTAAAATGCTGGAACTTGATGTCTCCTATCAGTGAAATAATAAATACCTGCCAAAAGTGAAAAACAGAAATAGCAGCACTGCACAATCCCAAGTATTCTGTCAACAAGCTGGATTTTAACATCTCGGTGCCTTCTTTTCTCTCCCGATCTTTTCTGCAGCATTCCCCCTCTACCATTCCAGAGCTGATGTCAAGTCTTGAGGATTGTATTTATTTAACATAAATAGAGAGACTATTACATGTCAGGCACTGTGCTAAATGCTGTGAAGAAACCCATTCAAGCCAGAATCCCCGGCCTCAGGGAGCTGACTAGGTATCTCAAAGACAGGGGAGTCGGTGCCCAGGTAACCTAAGGGGCAGGAGGAAGGAGGCTCTGGAAAGGGGTTTTCTCTAATCCAAGGATGCAGCTAATGAAACATTCCACGACATTTTTCTCCTGGGTACACTATGAGTGCCCCCAATAACAACTTCACCAGAGTTTCATCTCCCAATTACCCCTTGTATATTCCCTTGCACTGCCATTAGGCACATGACCTAAAATTAGCCACACTGCCCTGCTTAAGACAGAGTGGTCAAAAGCAAGGGGCATTTGGGATTTCCATCTATGCCCACTGCCAGCTGCTCTGTCCCTCAGGAATCTGTTTCCTTGTCCCACAGCATCCATAACCACTGTCTCTCTTTCCCATAAACCCGAGTCCAACCAGTTGGATCTCAATTAGGTGGTGTTTTCTTTATCTTAAACCATAGCTTTAATACTCTGATTATTTCTTAAACTGACTAGTTTCTTCAAGCTGGTGAATCCCCTAAAGCTGCAACTGACCTTCCTCCTCAGCTGTGGCATTCAGGTAAAATCCTGTCCTGAACTTCTACCCCACCAAGGTGAAAATGATGCTTGCTTTGGGCCTTTCAGCTTCTTCCCCTCTACCCTTACCTCTGGCCTTCCCAGATTCTGATATCACTTATCCCTATTCTGATTTCAATTCTTGCAATGGGTTGAAGGTTTAAGTGCTTTGTGTGACAAACTCAATTGTCTGCTGGGTTGAATATTCTGCCTAATGAGGCTCAGATTCACCTCTGACTTGTGAATTCAGTCTCCCTTGCATAAACACACCAGTGCACACACACACACACAACATGTAACAATCCTCCAGACAATGGTAATGTGAGTTAAAATGATTCCTGATTTCTAATAAAAATAAAACATCTTATTTTCTCTAATAAGAAAGAGCATATCAAAAAGTGAGATCTAACAGGAAACAAATAAAGGCCTGAAATATAAGTCATTGTTTCTAATTGTAATTCTAGGAATTCAGCCTAACACAATAACCAGAGAGATGGAAACAAATATTTATGCGAGGAGATATTCACACAATCACTTATAATAGTGTAATACTGAAAACTATAAAGTTACAGCAATAAACACCAGGTAATATGTTTAACTGCTTACCAGTGCATCAAACACAAGGAAGTCATAGGTTTCACTGTCTGACATTTCCATCATTATGTTAAAAAGTGCATCTAGTGTATCTTGCAAAAACTGAAGATAAGAAAAACAGAGAGGTTATTTTGATGCTTTCATAGATACCACAGCAATCTGGGGACAACTAGGTTTAAATCAAAGAGGTTTAAAATAGCATTTTTTTAAAAACTAGCACACTTGTTTAACAACGTAGATAAGTTTTATATTTACAATGAATGGTTTAATTTTAAATGTTGAACCAATTAGGTATAATTGGTATAATAGGTATATGTATGTATGTATGTATGTATGTTTCTAACTATGAATATATAAACATACCTTAACAATCTCTCCTCCATCCACTTCCATTAACTTCTTTAGGTTGTGTTTAATGTTCTGGGAGTTGGAACGCCAATTTAACAAACCTAACAGGTCAACTAGGAAGAACATTAGACACAAACATTAGACACAGGTGAGACAGAACAACCCAGACCATTTCAGGACATAGCTAAAGAATTCTCTAGAACAGGTAATTGCTCTTAATAGTGTCTAATTCAAGATGCCTTATGTATTCTTCTACTATCTCCCATCCAAGTCGGGGAAAACCTTGTGGTCCTCTTTCATTCTTCAAAGAGAAAAAAATTAACTATTAATGCATAAGAACTTAAAAGAATATCTGACTGCAACTAACATTTCTCAAGTAATAACATCATGGTCATAAGAAGTAAAGCTAAGAAGCACGCTTATGTAAACTTCCTACTTCTAATTTGCTGCCTTACTTAACTTGTCCCTTATCACTACCTATGTCTGGGTGGATTCAGAGGGAAGGAAGAAACATAGGTATGTGTGCATCTCTCTCTCTCTATATATATATATATGTGTGTGTGTGTGTGTGTGTGTGCGTGCGCATGTACATGTGTGTGTGTGCGTGTACGTGTGTGTGTGTGTATATATATATATGCATTAATTTATTTCAACATCATGACCACACAGATTTTATTTTTTCCATCTTTTAGATGAGGAAACTGAGGCTTTGTGAAGTTAAATTACATGTCTTAGGAGAGGTAGAAATGGAATTTTATTACATATTTATCTGATTTGAAAAACCAACTCCTTGCTTTTCTATCATACAGTTTTCCCCAGAGTTCTTTGAAGAAATAGACAAGCAAATTAGACAGGTGGCTACTTCAAAGAAAAGGTGGAACAGATTCATAGCCCTTAGGATAAGTCTGGGATAAAAATATTAAGGCATTTTTTGACTTACAATGGAGAATTTTGAAACTTTAAGCCACTTACAGCTTTAATAAATGTTAAGCTATTAAAAATGTCAAAGAGGCTGGGCGCAGTGGCTAATGCCTGTAATCCCAACACTTTAGGAAGCTAAGACGGGAGGATTACTTGAGTTCAGGAGTTCAAGACCAGCCTGAGCAACATGGAGAGACCTTGTCTCTATTAAGAAATATAAAAGTGTCACAGAGAAACTGCAGTTATCTGGACTGTGATTGTATCATCACCTAGTTTAGTACATCAAGCTACTATTTCTATTCAGAGCATTATCTAGTAAATGTAGCAATACATATTTTTTTCTCGCTCTGACACCCAGGCTGGGGTGCAGTGGTGCAATCTCACACAGTGGTGCAACCTCGCAATCTCGCAATCTCGGCTCATTGCAACCTCCGCCTCCCGGAATCAAGTATTCCTCCCACCTCAGCCTCCAGAGTAGTTGGGACTACAAGTGCACCACCACACCTGGCTAATTTTGTATTTTTTGTAGAGAAGGGCTTTCGCCATGTTGCCCAGGTTGGTCTTGAACTCCTGAGCTTCAAGCAAGCCTCCTGCTTCGGCCTCCCAAAGTGCCTCCCAAAGGAATTACAGGTGGGAGCCAGGGCACCCGGTTGATATTTTTCAATCAATGAATTTGTAGAAATATATGTCATTACACATGTATTTTTCATAAATAGTCAAAGTGCTTCATGAGGGTGTTTATCAGTTTGCCTATTGTTTAGGCCCAGGGAAACTGCCAAAACCTAATGCCTAAGGATTCCTTGTGTCTACAGAATAAACTTCCAATGAAACACAGAGAATGTAATAAGGCCCCAACTATGTCACTCCAGCACACCCCAACCACCACTATTCTCTTTTACCCTTTAGCAGTCAGAGAAATCTAATCACCACAGCCCATCCATGGCAGGTTCTGAAATATCTGTGTGTCTTTGTGTATATTTTTCTCTTTGCCTGAAATACCCAGAAATACTATGTATTTGGTAAGATGTATTTGGTGTCTCTTTGACTCTTCCCATAGTTTTGAGCCATTTGAAGGCAGGAACCATATAGTGTTCATTCTTTTATCTCGCCATAGTACTAGATATCTATTAGGTGTTCAATACATGTCTGATGAAGGAATAAATGAATGAATGGAAAGGGAACCAGCAACTCTAAGGAAGCTGGTAATATGCTTAACCCAGTCATTAATGTATTCATTCATTCAGCAGGTAATTAACATAGCTGCAACGCTAGGCCTTCCACTCGGCACTGTCCACTTCCATATTCTCCAGCTCTGACTTCTGCCACAGGCTAGTCAAAGGTATTGCTCATTCTATCACTTGACTCATAGCCGCTGGAGGAAAACGATTTAGTCCCTTCACCAGGGGTGAATATTCACCCAGCAGCTTCAGCCCCGACAAAGTACCCAAGTATCATCCCAGAGGTTTATTTCCTAGTGATACCCGCACGCCAGATCACGGCTCACATAGGAAAATATTTTGGCATCTGGTGAACTGTTAGGTCTTAGGACCAGGAAAGCAGTGACACAGGGTTACAGAAAGAGCCCCAGGCTTGTTGTGTTTCTAAGATGTACACAGGTTTATCCACGTAGCTCTGATTTTTTTTCTTGCTGTGCAGTGTCTATTCAATTGTACGGGTGTACACAATTTGTTTATCCACTCTGCTGCTGATAAACACTTGGGCTGTTTCTAGTTTTTTTCTACCATAAGCAATTCTGCTATGAACATTCTCATACGTCTCCCGGTATACAGGTAGAGCAGCTTCTCTAGGGTAGAAAACTAAGGTGGGATTTCTGGGGCATCAGGAAGAATATCTTCAGCCGTATTAAATATTATCCAAAGTCACTGTCCCCATTTTACATTCTCGTGAGAAATGTGTAAGAATTCGGGATACTTCAAATCTTCAGTAATGCTGAGTAAAAGTGAAAGTTACACAAGAATTCACACAGGACACAAGACTTCAATTAGATAGTTCAATTATTAACTACATTAATACTGTAGGCTGTATAATACTGTATACCGTATACATGAAAATTGCTAAGAGAATAGAAGTAAGTGTTCTGACCACTGAAAAATAAGTAAGGTGGCATGCAAAAGTCACCAGTTGCAGGAGATTACTGAACACTTGAAATGTGGTAGGGCAACTAAGGGACTGACTCATAATTTAATTTATTTATATAAAATAAAAACAATGCAAAATGAAACAACATACTTTAAGGGCTACAGATGTGGCAAAACTATAAAGAGAAGCGAGGGCATCAGAATCCCCAAATTTAGGGTAGTAATTGCCTTCTACCCTAGGAAGAGAATTTAAGAACACATACTTCTAAAAAGGAAAGTACGACAAAGCTATTCAGACTCAAAAGGTTAAAAGTCACTGGAGTTTGTAACAAACCGATCTTGGTGACTCTAACTGCAAAACAACAAACTGTAAACTGTTTGGAGCTACAAAGAGCTGTTTTCAAAATCCAAGTCCACCACTTAAGAGCTTAAGAAAGATTTTTTGCCACTTTAAAACTCAATTTTCTGGTCAATGAGCTGGAAATGATCATGGCAAAGTTGGTGCTGGAGGGTGAAATGACTGACGAGTATGAACCTCCTGGCCCAAGGCCACACACCTCTGGGGACCTGCACATTCCTCTCTTTTTCCTGGACAAACAAATCTATTCTTACCTCCCACTGGGCCCAGAAACCAATGATCCCACACAAACTGGTCTGTTTTAGTATCGAAAAAACAAATCAAGTAAACAAAAAAGAGTCTCCAAGATCTGTCTGTTAAAACTCCAGTGGCTTTTAACCTTTTGAGTCTGAATAGCTCTCCTCAGGCGAAGGAGGAATGCCTTTGCTCGCCCTCTCAGCGAGAACACAGCTACCCTCTCTACTCAGTCAACGCCCTCACAGAGTTAGCCGATGGCTTATTAATGCTCTTCAGCGTTTTATTAAATCAAATTCATTCTTTATAATTTCCATCAAGTCAGAAAAAAGCAAATGCATGAATAATCTACAATCATTTGTCCCTGGAATACCCCATTTTCCCCAATGCTCACGAAGCCTTTGCCAAGTCTCCATCTTTCCCTCTCTTGTCCCCTGGTCCCTCTCCCTGCTCCCAGTCCATTTGGATAGCAGGTCACTCCTCTCTGATTCAGACGAGGCTTGCCTTTTTAAACCTTCTTTGCAATAAGATATTACTTCTGACTCTTTTTGTATGTGTTATGATGAGTTTGTCTTTTTTTTAAATCAAAACATCAGGAATAAGGATGACAAAGTAAAGCATACAGTGTCATCCAAAGGAACATTCTGTGATGATGAAATGTACATCCGTCTGCCCAGCACAAAAGTTAGCAGCTGCAGGAGACCAGAGTGCTCCAAATGTGACTAGGGCAACTAGCGGACTGATTTATACTTTGTTTTTATTAGTAAAATTTAATTAACAAATAAAAATTGTATATATTTACAGTGTACAACGTGATGTTTTGATACACACACACATTGTAGAAGGGTAAATCAAGGTAATTAACATACACATTACTTATTTTTTGGTGGTGAGAACACTTAAAATCTACTCTCTTAGCAATTTTCAAGTATACACTATATTATTAACTATAGCCACGAGGATATATAACAGATCTCTTGAACTTACCCTCTTGTTTAGTGGCACTTTTGTACCTTTTGTCCAACTTCTCCCGAATCGCCCCACCCTCCAATTTTAATTAATTTAAATTTTACAAGCTACATGTGTCTGGGGGCTACCGTATCAAGACAGTACAGGCTAGTTAAGAACATTCAGAAGCTGGGGTGAAGTAGGCATACCAGCAAATGAAAGGTCTACATTGAGAACTGCAACTTGTCAGGAAACCCTGCATTTTTGACATGGAGATAACAAACAATGTAACAACACGGTTATCGCTAACAGAAATTCCTTTTGCTTTTCATTACTAGTAATTTCACAAACTTTTATTCTTGTTTTCTTTATTCCTCTCTGATCTGTAGTCCAGAAAGGATTATCTACTAGATGTTCAGTAAGTGTTATCCCTTTTAAATATCCCCTGACAGTTTTAAAATAATATTAATGCTTTATATAGTATACTACCATACTTAGTTCAAAGAATAACATTTTGACATTTCATAGTTAAAAATTTGGAAAATACCAAAAAGAGTAAAGAAAACAAGAATTATCAAACTTTGAGTTGATCCTATTCATCTGTTTCTGAGTACAAATAATGATGATCGTGATAGCTGACATTATAGTGTTCACTATCTAGATCGAATGCTATTTTGTTTTTATTTTAATTTACTGCATTCTTTGAAATAGATACTATTATTGCTCCCCTTTTAAAGACAAGGAAACCAGTTCACAGAGATATCAAGTCACTTGCCCAAGATGAAACAGCTAATAAGTGGCAGAGCTGGGATTTGAAGCCAGGCAATCTGGCTGCAGATTGCTCACATATACCCAAATAAAACTGGGATCCTACTGTGTACAGTGTTAAAAAGTTCACTGTGTCCTTCACTATGTTTTGAAATACCATATTTAGCAGCTGCATATATTTCGTCACTTAATTATAAAATGTGGTTAAACTGACCCCAACTATCAGACATTTGGGTGGTTTCCAGTATTTCCCTGTTACAAATAAGAGGGAAATAACATCTTTGTACATAAATCTTCATGCACATCTCTCATTGTTTACTTTGTACTACTTTAAGTTCCGCTTCCAGGAGTCAAATCACAGGCTCAAAGGGTCGGAAGACATTTAAAATCCTTGATATGCCTTTCTAAATTATCCTCCATAAATACCGTACCCATTAACCTACCAGCAGTTAATTGTTAATAGATTCACTTTGTCCATAACAAGGGTATGTTGCTGATGGTTCTGTCACATCTTCTATGTTTCTGGCTTCATTTTTAGTGAGTATGCTTTTATTTGCACATATGGATTAGCCCTAAACTTCACTCTGTTGAGTCTAGCCACTCGTCCAAGTTGAAATATAATCCTTATTTTTTTTTTTTTGTCAACCATGATTTGTCAAAACAAACCTAATACTGAGCCCTTCTAAAGATCAGGGATCTGACATCTGGGTTTACCCTATAACTACACTGTTTTGTCTATCTTTGCACCTCTTAAGGCAGAGCTCTTGCCTGTACCTCACTCTAACTGTCTACAAGGCCAAAGGCACCAGTCTCTACACAGCATACGGGAGACAGAATTTCTAGCACAAGTCCCCTAGGTAGCTCCTTCTTGGTTTACTACATCCAGTAGGGCTCCTTACACATCACTTAAGTTAAATAAATAAGAAGTTGATATTGGCTATCAAATGCCATAATCTACACAAGAGAGGTTAAAATTGGTATCAGAGATTTGAAGGAAAAACCAAATGAAGCCCTCTTTGAACTATTCAGCTGAATTTATGAAAATCCGTGACTGCTTGGGAAAAAATGGGGAAGAGAAGAATATACAACAGAAAGAGAGAACTCAAACAGGAAGCCCTGCCATACTTTTTGGACAGGAGACTGATTATATTCTTCGCCAGGCTCCTCTTGTTATTACCAACATCTCTTCCTGCATATACTATACAGAATGCACTATCAAGGAACATATGGCTTTTGAATTTTACAGTTGCTGTTAATAAATACACTTATAGGTTTTATGATATTAAAATACTAAAATGTTTTTCATCCTGCTTTAAAGTGGACAATGAAACTTCCAAAGAAGCTGTGCAATGTGATCAGTTCTACCCAGAATACCACTTGAAAAGCAGAGAGCAGAATCCAACTGGCCAACATCCTACCTTATAAGACTCAGCCCCATATGGTCCAGCCCTGTGAGCCTAACCAAGGAGCCCAGGAAGGCTGAGCGGGAAGCTTATTTGTGTCAATGTATTCACCATCCTACCGTTCTGGGTGAGCTTTGTGGAGCAGATGAGGGTGGCAATCTGAAAGCTGTCTTTAGTGCTATCCTTGCTTGGGGTGAAGGTGACCAGGTTTTTGGATGCTTGAAGTTCTTTTTCTTCCATCTCCATCTTGGTCCCAGGCAGGGTCAGGTAGAATTTAGCATCTTCCATTTTTTTGTTGTCACCCTAAAAAGGAAGCATGTTAGGAACACCCAATGATGGCCAACATCTCTTATATGCAAATAAAAACAATTTCTATCATACATTTCCAGCATGAGAAGCGTGGCTTTATCAAATTATCCTGAAGATCCCTTCCAACTCTGAGATACTATGACATCTCTCCGCAAACACTGAGCCCAGAAATAATTTCATGATTGAATGGAAACAGAGTAAGTTGTGAACTAGAAACCAGAATATCCTAGTCTCTGTTAGAGTAAATAAATATATTGCAGAATAAGGTTAAATTTCGTTTTCTTCAGTCTCTAAATGGGGACAATTATACTTTATTGGGTTGATGGTTGATAGAAGAAGAAATAGCTTGCCATCCCTTCCAAAATGATTCATAAACTAACAGGTTAAGAAAAATATTCATCAGGTAGATGTATCTCAAAAGAGCAGCCAACTGTGGGGAAACCCCCAGATATTGTTGGACAAATGAGATCTTCCAGCATCTACTTTAGACTCTAAAATCTCAGTAGAAGTGGGAGCTCAGTACCAGTTGGAAGAGAAGAACAAAGACAAAACTCTCAGGGAAGGAAGGAAGGCCCCCAGAGCAGAGAAATGGTATGTGGCTCATGGTGACAGGAAAACCACATCCACCACATGCTACTGAAGCCCAACGGTGCACCTGTCCACGTGCCATGCAGGACGCAAAGAGCAGAGGATGAGAGGCCGACCCCTTACCACTCCCTGCTAGGGAACACCATTCGCAGGAGAGGGTGAGAGCCTCCTTAGAAGACTCAGTAATAATGCAACTCACTCTCTCCAGAAAGGAGGTGGGAAACCACAAAGCTGGAGGGCCCAGAGCCTTCCAAGTTTCTAGATTTTAATGGGCAAGTACAGATAGCTCTAGAAGGGTTTCTGATGTTTGTACAAATAAATGTGAAAGGAGCCTTAAACACCATTTGAAAGGGAGTAAATATTTTTCTCAGCCATTTTCTGTTAGCACCACCTTATAAACCACCAGATCGTGCCTCCCATCCTGCAGAGTGGTGCCATCCGGGTTCATCAGCTTCACGAAGGCCACCCCAAATGCTCGCTCCGATTTATCTCTGGCTGAAAAAGCAGAAAGACATGTCTGAGCAGTGCAGAAAGACACCAGGAGGCGATGGCTATGACAGATGATTTCACATCTTGCTTGGGGGTGTGGCGTTCAACCATATTCTAATAAGCACAATTCAGCAAATTGCAGTAAGACACGTACCGTGTGCCAATGAAACTGCCTGGCACCCCCAGGTAGGCTCTCCTCTTCCTACATCCCCTAATAAATGAGACCAGTATCTACCCAGTCATCCAAATCGGAAATGTGGGTGTTGACACCAACTCCACCCCATGTCAACTCCATGTCCTAAATAGCTCTGGAGCCTGTCTCTTCTCTCTCTTGCTGTCTTGCTGTCCCTTCCTGACTTCAGGCCAACCTCACCTCTTCTCTTTATTTCTACAGGACCTTCCCAACGCACTTCTCTGTCTCCAGGCTCTCCCAGCCAACACATTCTCTACATTGGAATGAGGTTTCCCAAGTCCAGTCCAATCATGTCAACCATCCTGCTTCAAAACACTTGAATGAGAGATCTCAATTTATGTTGCTCTAAAACAGGCTCTGCAAGATATTTATTCTACTCTAGGGTTTAAGGTGCTGCCCAAGGTTTCTTCCCCCTTCCTCCCCAGAATACCAGCTCCAGTGCCAGGAAAGAAGATCTGTGTGCCCTGTGGCGGCTGGGAGGAGGGTGCGGCTTCATGAGGAGGTAGAGCACCTCTCTCCTGGTCTTCGGGGCCAGTCTCTGAACTCACTGGGTCCCCTGCTTCAGAGGCTCTGACTGGGTAACCTGTGGCCTGTTCTCATCATAGGCACGGCTCTGTGGTCTGCTGTGACTCTCGGGTCCCCACACTGGTGGAGCAGTCATCCATTGTATGATTTTACCTCAGTTTGTTTATCCATTCTCCTACTGATGGGGATTTAGGCTATTCTAGTGTTGGCGTACTACAGGTAAAGCTGTTATGAACATAGGCCAACCCCTCCCAAAATCTCAAAACCAGAAACCACCCTTGAATTGCACCTCCTTAACATGGTTGAAAAGCATCTTCAGCCTTTGTGACCTGGCTCTAGCCTAGCTAGAATCAGATTGCTTGGGTGCTAACCCAGCCTGGTCATATGCTAGCCTTGTGACCACGGGCAAGTACCTAGCCTCTCCGTGTCTTAGTTTCTTTATGTAAAAATGTAGATAAAAGTAGAATGCACTTTATTATATTATTGTGAATACTAAACAGGACCATGTACAAATATAGCTTCACATAATAATTCTTTTATTGTTTTTTTGAGACAGAGTCTCACTCTGTCACCCAGGCTGGAGTGCAGTGGTGTGACCTCAGCTCACTGCAAGCTCCACCTCCTGGGTTCACACCATTCTCCTGCCTCAGCTTCCCAAGTAGCAGGGACTACAGGCACCCGCCACCACGTCCGGCTAATTTTTTGTATTTTTAGTAGAGATGGGGTTTCACCGTGTTAGCCAGGATGGTTTCGATCTCCTGACCTTGTGATCCGCCCGCCTCAGCCTCCCAAAGTGCTGGGACTACAGGCGTGAGCCACCGCGCCCAGCCTCACATAATATTTCATAGGAACTTGATCTTTGTTAATTGTTAATTGATCATTGTTAGTTATGCAGAACCATATGAAATAGCTGATATTTGTGGCCATTTAGACCTAAAAAATGGCAATTTCACATGATTCAACCTGATACTATTATTGCTCCACTGGTCCTGCTTTAGCCTTACTGAGCTCATTGGGGTTCTCCAAACATGTTTCTCCCGCCACCCTTCACTGGGCTAATTTCTACTCTCCTTCAAGTCTCAGCTAAGATGTAGGAAGTTATATGCATAAATCCCCCAGACTGGGTAAGGTACTGTGCTACGTATCCATTACAAGTCTTTGCCCCCTTGTAATATACACATCACACTGTTCTGTACATAACCACCCACTTTTTTCATTTATCTTCCTAACCAGACCACAAAGACTCTGCGTGGCAGTGTCCAGCTGGCTGTCATAGACCAGGGCCTCGCCTGCAGCCTGCTGTGTAGATGGTGTTCAACACATGCATTTTTGGAAGGAGGGGTTACATTTTTATGCAGTGCTAAATGAGAATAAGAAGCTTCCAGAAATTTTGTGATCGGTCTGAAAACAATCAATTTTCTTCTCTGCTCACACTTTAGTGCAGCCATTTCAAGAACTGTGACCTAAGACTTGAAATAGTTTTTTCACGAGAAAAATGACAATTTGGGGAGACAAGTGACTAAACAGTTTTCTTGCTACTGCAACATGGCAACATACATTGTGAATGTCTAGGGGGATACAAGGTATACACAGCCTTTCCTATACCTATTTGATTGTGAAACACAACACTTTTTGTTACAGAACATCTAGTAGCAGCTTAGAGCAGGGGACCTCAAAGCCCAGGCCATGAACCCGTACCAGTCTGTGGCCTGTTAGGAACTGGGCTACACAGCAGGAGGTAAGTGGCGGACCAGCAAGCAAAGCTCCATCTGTCTTTACAGCTGCTCCCCACTGCTCACATTACCACCTGAGCTCTGCCTCCTGTTGGATCAGCAGCAGCATTAGATTCTCACAGGAGCCGAACCCTATTGTGACCTGTGCACGCAAGGGATCTAGGTTGCACACTCCTTGTGCAAATCTAATGCCTGATGATCTGAACTGTCTAGTTGCAGGAAAACAAGCTCAGGGCTCCCACTGATTCTACACTATGGTGAGTTGTATAATTATTTCATTATATAGTACAATGTAATAAGAATAAAGAAAACAACAAATGTAACGTGGTTGAGTTACCCTGAAACCATCCCCGCTCCTGGTCCTTGGAAAAATTGGCTTTCACGAAACCAGTCTCTGGGTGCCAAAGATTGAGGACTGCTGTCTTTGAGAATATTAATGTTCACACAACACATTTTGAGGAAATCCTAATATAGAGTGATAACACAGACCTTGCAAGCCCAGCAAAATTCATTATGCTGATTTCCTTAGCACCAGTGAGTTACAAAAGAAAGTTGTCAAGTCTCTAGTTTCCAAATATCTTGTTCTCCAGATTCACAAGAGGGTTGTCAAGCCAGAGAAAAAAATTTTTAAGTGGAAATATGTCATAGACCTCTTAATACTTACATTCCTGAGATGACCTGTGTCGGAAGGTAAATCTTATATGGCAGCGTGTGACCTCTTCTATAGCAATGGATACCTGTGTCATAGTAAGAAATTAATAGTTTACAGACACAAAGTACTTTGCATGCATGGTTTATTTCATGGAATTAGGCTCAATTTTGTACTCTCCACAGCACAAATTACTAGAGAGTGAGACTTGGTATAGGTTTCATTCAAAGGAGACTGAGCTATTTTCAAATCAAAAGAATCTCAGATCATCTTGCTGTTTATCACAGATTCTGAGCATAGAGATACTGTGAATTTCTAGCATTTTCTGAAGTAAGAAACAGTAATACTTCAGAGGGGGAATACTGGTACTTTGAGGTCTATACAGAACCTTTCAGACTGCAAGATGTGAATAAATATAGTAACAATTGGATCTATAAGACCTAATTATTCCATAAAGAGGGGGAAAGGTAATAATTAGGGCTCATAAAGCAGCTTTCTGCTGCTCTCATATCTACAGGGGAGAGAAGAAATGGCCTTGGGGCACTCAAATGAGCAGAGATTTGTGGTGTGCAGTTAAATTACGGCATGATTATACAATGGAACCTCATGCAAGTATCTAAAATACATATCTGAAGAATTTATATGCATTGAGATAAGTAGTTTTAAAAAGCACAATATAAATTTCTATCAACAGCATCATTCAAAACATATGAACTATATAAAACTGTTGAAAATGGCTAATTCTAAATTGAGATATACGAATGCAATTAAAACAAATTTTTTTTTTTCTATGAAGAACTCGTGTGACTTCGACAACCAGAAAGAGCTGATGGAGCCTGGGATTCAGAAGAAGTGGACTCTAGTTCAGGCCCTGATACCAGTCAGCTCTAGGATCCCAGGAAGTCACTGAACTTTGAACCTCAGTACCTAATCAGAAAGATGGCGTTACAACACCTGCTTGTTCTAGTTGCAGAGCCCTTGTGGGGCTCAAAGGAGATGACTGATCTGAAAAGCACTTTGGAATGTGTAATACACATATTGAAGTTGAAAAGAGGCCCAGAACACTTGGTGAGAGGCCAAGAAGAAAAAAATGTTAGGAAACTGTTTGCACAGTGTGAAAATTTGTTTGGTTTTGTACCGTCTTGGCAGTCTATTATATCCATCACGTCAACCACCAGCTTTGCTACTCAAATTCCCATACATTTATGAATGAGAACATTATTGAAGAATACGGAGTTTCTTAATGATAAATGCTCTTAATACAGAATTATAATTACCGATTCGTTTCTTATTGCACATCATAGGCAACTTATCTAAAAATTTCAAAATAAAGTAGGAATAATTTGGGGGTAAACAGAAGATAGGAATCTAACTGAGGTTTAACAGATAACAGGGGTTGCAAATGACTCATTCTCACCTTGACAGTCTCATACCAACAGGGCTGCTTGACTTGGTAATAGACTACTGATTTGTATTCTGAAATGCCTTCATATCCAGCACCGGGGTGAATTGCTTTCTTCGGATGGAAGGAAAAAGTTAGAAGGGAATAATTTTGTTTAGAAAAGGAAGAGGACCCCATATACCATGCATAAGCCCCTTACCCCAAAACACATTCACACATGCCCTACACTGGCACTGATTGGCTGATTAAGTTTGGGGGATGAAGAACAGAGAATGAATTTCTACCACTTTATTCAAGGGTCTATAATATCAATTTGGTAGCAGTTAAGGAACCCAGCACTGCCTAAATATTCTTCTTTCCCGTAACTTGTATTTTCTTTTCTCTCCCCAGGCATGCATTCTCCTCTGATTCTTTCCTCTTTTCTCTCTCAGGAAACATGATGATGATGAGAAGTTAGGTGACAAATGCAGATGCGCCACTGTTTGCAGAAAAGCATTTCTCTTTCCTGTCTACATTCTGTTTTAGGGACTTGGGGTATTGGCACAGCATATTCACTCAAACTCAGGGCTGCATCTTTTCCTGGTCATGAACCACTTAGCTCAGTAGAACCAGCCCTTGGTGGGGCACTATCAAACGAAATGACCAACAGGAGAAGGTGTCTACTTGAAATGAGCTCATCTGCTCTTACCAACAGCACAAACAAAGCACTCTCATACAGTGGCTCACAGCATTCAGTTTCTCCCTTTCATGCAGAATATGACTTGACTTAGTGAACTGCCTGGCTATCTGCCTCCTTAATAGATTATAACATCCATGGGAAGTGATGAAATTGTATTTCACTGTAGCCTCAAACAACTCTGCAACAGGACACTCTGTGAGTCAAGTCAATCAAGTGCTTGGTCCTTGGTTATCAAAGCAGGTAACTATGGCTCATACGAGAAGAGCTGGAGTTCAGCAGAGGTCATGCAGCCTCCTGTGACCACCTCCTGCCTATCCTCTTTGATGTCAGAATCAGGACTCACTTCTTTATGTGGGCAGAAAGCTGGCAGATATCTGCTTTAGATCTTGTCTTAATGTTAAAAAAAAAAAAAAAAAAGGAAGGAAAGAAAATAGAAAAGAAAGGAAAATAGAAGAGGGGGAGGGGGAGGGGAAGGGAGGAGAGGGGAAGGGAGGGAAAAAGAGAGGAAGGGAGGGGAGGGGAGGGGAGGGGAGGGAAGGGAAGGGAAGGGAGAGGAAAGAAACAAAAAAAAAAAAAAGAAAAGAAATAGGAAAGCAAAGCAAAACAACGCAGGCTGCACATGGTGTCTCATGCCTGTAATTCCAGCACTTTGGGAGGCTGAAGTGAGCAGATCACGAGGTCAGGAGTTTGAACCCAGCCTGGCTAACATAGTGAAACCCCGTCTCTACTAAAAATACAAAAAAATTAGTTGAGTGTGGTGGCGGGTACCTGTAATCTCAGCTACTTGGGAGGCTGAGGCAGGAGAATTGGTTGAACCTGGGAGGCAGAGGTTGCAGCAAGCAGAGATTGTGCCACTGCACTCCAGCCTGGGCGACAGTGTGAGAGTCCATCAAAAAAAAAAAAAAAAAAGAAGAAAGAAAAGCTGCCAGAGCTGGAGGAACTCTGGACTTGAATTCAGGATACTTGGATACCCTCCCAGCTCTGCCACTAATGCCTGTGTTTCTAGAGAAAATAACTCTTCCTTTTAAAGTTTCTAACAGTTTCCTGTTCATTAAAACTAAAAAGCAGGCTGGGCACGGTGGCTCACGCCTGTAATCTCAACACTTTGGGAGGCTGAGGTGGGCAGATCACAAGGTCAGGAGATCGAGACTATCCTGGCTAACACGGTGAAACCCTCTCTCCTAAAAATACAAAAAAATTAGCCGGGCATGGTGGCAGGCGCCTGTAGTCCCAGCTACTCAGGAAGCTGAGGCAGGAGAATGGCGTGAACCCGGGAGGCGGAGTTTGCAGTGAGACGAGATCGCGCCACTGCACTCCAGCCTGGGCAACAGAGCGGGACTCTGTCTCAAAAAAAAAACAAAACAAACAAACAAAAAACACTAAAGAGCAGTGGTAGCAGATGCCTACCCAAGGGATCTTCCAGTTTCAGTCTCTGATGAGCGCATGTTCTTTGGTTCGGCTCACCCAGGGAAGGAAACGTGCTTTCTGATGCTATTCGAGCAACCAGGCCACTTAGCTGAAGCCTCAGAGTAACTGATCAAGCTTGACAGTGGCAAAATAAGTTGAAAATGATAAATAACCTCTGCATTGGAAGCTTACACATAAAATCATTAGGGGCTGCAGCTATTTCTTAGCACAGGAGAAATATAAGAGTCTAGATAGCTTCCTTAGTGAAACTGCTCATTGCTAATCATAAATTTAACAGTCTTTATATTTCTTTTCTCAGGAAAAACCAAACCTATCCTGATGCAAAGAATTAAAATACGGCCAAAAGTCTATGGTGATTGTAAAGATGGATGTGATGGCAGCAGGATTTCTGGGCCACACCGCGCACCTCCAAGAGCTTGCCTTCCTCATCGTGCACAGACATCGTCACCTCCACATTCTTTGGCGTCTTCTTCTTCCCTTTGTCAAACTCGCCATGGATCAGGGTGACATAAATGTCATTCCGAACATCTCCTGCAATAGGACAAGCATGCTGTGAGTGCTGCTGAGAGAAGTCATTCTAAGTTTCACAATGTCATGTGACACAAAAGATAAAGACGATTTGAAATGTTCTGGTTTTATACTGAACTCCTCATCTGACAAAAGGCTTTCATATGCATTTGCTGGCTTCAGCTTATCTCATTTTACCTTTCCATGCATACCAAGATGTCTTTGCACTGCGGTTTTATAGAAAATTAAGTAGTAATTCTTTCTCTATTAAACATTTCTGTCTAATAATAAACACATATTATATATTATTAGGTTACAGTGGCAGATCGTTTTTCAATAGTGCCTTGGAGAGTGTGATATTTTGAATACATCTGATAATAATGAAGGCAACTGTCTATTGAGTGCTTATTATATGCTGTGCCAGGCACTGGTCAAAATGTCTTATATGTATTAATGTAATCAATTACAGACTGACTTGTTCATCTATAGAACAACCTGATGAGATAGACACTCCTTCTGAAAGCCTATAGAGTATGTTTTTCTTTTCTTTTTTGATACATGACTTGTTCTGTTGCCCAGGCTGGAGTGTGGTGGTGCCATCTTGGCTCACTGCAACACTGGCCTGTTGGGCGGGCTCAAGTAATCCTCTCACCTGAGCCTCCCAAGTAGCTGGGATTACAGGCACACACCACCACGCCTGGCTAATGTTTTGTATTTTTTGTAGAGAAGGGGTCTCACTACTTTGCCCAGACTGGTCTCAAACTCCTGGACTCAAGCAATCTGCCCACCTCAGCCTCCCAAACTGCTGGGATTACAGGTGTGAGCCACCATGCCCAGCCTAGAGTACTTTACATTTCTTTAAATCAGTTTATTTGATTTTATCAATGAAAGAATGCTTTCTGCTGGTTTTTTCTTCATTACCCAACAAAAAAAATTTAATTAATAAATGTGTGGCCCACATATTGAAGAAAAATATTAAATGTTACTGAAGTACATAAAGGAAACTTGGAATAAATGTAAAGTATATTAAACTCCTAGATGAAAAAAGTATTGAAAAACTGATTCCAACACCTGCACTATATTAAACTGCCTCCCAATGTAAAAAACAAAACCTTTTAACACTATAAGAAAACAGGAGTGCATATTTAGAGCAGTGATCATTTTGATCATTTCCCCAACTGGAAAAAAATAAGATACTGCTTACACTTGCTGAGGATGAAGAAAAAGGGGCTTATTCACACAACACAGTTTGAAATCTTACTTGACACACTCTTTGTCAATGGAGAAACCGAAAATGTGTCAAAAGTCTCAATACGGCAATTCCACTGGTAATATTTGTCTCAAAGTATTAAAAATGTGGGCAATAATTTATCTGTAAGGATATTCACTGTGGTGTTTATAAAAGTGGAAAAGTGGAAACAGTCTCAATTTCCAAGCACAGGGAACTAGTGGAATAAATTATGGTATAATCACATGATGGCGGTAATATTCATTTTAAAAAGGGCTTGAGCTCCTACTCTGCAGCAGGCATGTGCTAGGTGTCTGGGTGGCGATGGTGAGCCACTCATCGTCCTTGCCCCAACTCAGGTTACAGTCTAGTGCAGGAGAGAAGCACCAGTCAAATAATCTGCACAAGTAAACCCACTATTACCAGCGGAGGAACATGCCAGGCTCTGTGAATGCACAATACCTGGTCCTGACCTCATCTGCGGGGTATGCGAATCTTTCCCTTCAGGTGTTAGCACGGTCAGGGAGAGTGGCCTGTGCAAAGGCCCAGAGGTAGGAGACAACCTGACTGACATTCTCACAGTGAGGGGGTGTTCTGGTGTGAGATGAGGTTGTAGAGATAGAAATAAGCCAGATCCCCCTGAGGCCGGTGGGCAAATTAAGAATTTTTATACTTACCCTCCACATAAACGAAAGTCAGTACGATGTTTTCCGTGAGAGAGGAGTGGGGTGAGATCAGATGTGCTTATGAAACAGAACATTTGGATGCAGTATGAAGAAGAGAAAATGAGCAAAGAGAGAGTGGAAACATGAAAACCAGGTAGGAAGTTATGGCAGTCATCCAGGGAAGAGACCATCGTAGCTCCAACTCAAGCGGTGGCAATGGAGATGGAGAGAAGGGAAAGAGTGATTTGAGAGTCCTTTCAAAGGTAATGCTGACAGGTCTTATCTAATTTATGTGAGTTGTAAAAGAAAGGGAGGTATCAAGGGTAACTTTCTGGCTTCTTGCTTGTGCAATGGATGGATAGGTAGGTGGGTGGGTGCCCGTTTGGGTGGATGGATGGAATTGGATGGATAGGATGGATATGACCAGGTGCTGGGCGGATGGATGGATGGACCGGTGGGTGGTGGCTGGATGGACTGGGTCGGGTGGGTGGATGGTGGTGGAGTGGATGGGATGGATGATTGGTGAGTGGGTGGATGGATGGATGATGGGTGGGTGGGTGGATGGATAGAGGTTAGATAGGTGGATGAGTGGATGGATAGGTGGACAGCTGAATGGGTAGGTGGATGGGTGGGTGGATGGATGATAGACAGGTGGGTGGGTGGGTGGATGGACGGATGGATGAATGGATGGAGGTGTTATTTTCTTAGATAAAACACAAGAGAGGTGCCTCAGGCCTAGATGCACAGAATTATGAGGTCCAAATGGGGATGCTGAATAAGAATTAGCCAATTAAAGCAAGGAGGGGCTGGGTGTTGTGGCTCATGCCTGTAATCTCAGCACTTTGGGAGGCAGAGACAAGAGGACTGCTTGAGCCCAGGAGTTCAAGATTAGCCTGGGCAACATAATGAAACTTGGTCTCTACAACAACAACAACAACAACAACAAAATTAGCCAGATGTGGTGGCTCATGCCTGTAGTCCAGGCTACCCAGGAAACTGAGGTGGGAGGACTGCTTGAGCCCATGAGATCGAGGCTTACAGTGAGCTATGATCACACAACTGTACTCCAGCCTGGGTGACAGAGCAAGACCTTGTCTCAAAAAAAAAAAAAAAAAGAGGGGACTCCTAAGACAGGAAATAGCTGGCTATATGATCCTAGAGTTCATTACAGAGGTCTTGGTGCTGGGGCTACAGATTTGAAGGTGACAGGCAGATGAAAGCCAAGTGAGTGGATGATGCCCCTAGGGAGAAAATACAGGTGAAACAGAAAGAGGGCTGTTCTGGGCTGACCTGTGTCCTCCCCAAATTCATATGCTGAAGCCGTAACCCTTAGTAATGCAGAATATGACTGTATTTGGAGATAGGGCCTTTAAAAGAGTAAGTAAGGTAAAATGAGGTCATATAGGCACCGTATGACTGGTGCCCTCATACGAAGAGATTAAGACACAGACATGCACAGAGGGACAACCAAGTGAAGACACAGGGAGAAGATGGCCGTCTGCAAGCCAAGGAGAAAGGCCTCCCAAGAAGCCATCCCTGCTGCCACCTTGATGTTGAACTTCCAGTCTCCCATCCTTTGTTGTGAGAAAACTAATGCTGACGCCACCCAGTCCGTGGTATTTTGCTATGGCAGCCCAAGCACACGAATACAGGGTCTCAGAACCAAAGAGCAAGGAACTTCGACATTTAGAGGCAAAGCAGAATATGAGAAGGTGGCAAACGGGTTCTAGCAGAGGCCCCAGGGAAATGGAGAAACAGAGAAAAGTGAGGGGTCACCAATGAGAAGGGAAGGAAATATTTCAACAATGTCAGATGCTGCTGAGAGGTCACAGAGCTGATCACTAGGCTAGAAAACACCAATCAGAGGTAGAGATACCATGATCATGGGTGACTCTCATGAGAGCTACTCTTGAGAGGCTGGAGTGGGGCTGGCAGAGGTGAGAACACAGAAAGAGAGTGGACAGAATCACTCCTGTGAGGCTGAAGACAGAGAGTCAAAGCTCCTCGCTGGAGGGCAAGGGGGTACAGGGGAGAGTTAAGGAGGCAACCGGAACCAGTTCACATGGTGATGGGACAACAGGAAGGAGTTCCAAGCGCAGGGAGTTGGGTCTAGACCTGAATTTCTCAGAACTGACTCACCACCGGATCACCCTGGGAGCTCTGAATCAGTCTCTAGAAATCTGGGAATCTGTATTTTCATGGAGATCTTCAAGGAGATCTTGATTAGCTGATCCACAGACTAGCACTGGAAACCCTTGTTCTAGATGATTTTTTAATTTTTAAATTATACTTTTAAGTTCTAGGGTACATGTGCACAACGTGCAGGCTTGTTACATACGTATACATGTGCCATGTTGGTGTGCTGCACCCATTAACTCGTCATTTACATTAGGTATATCTCCTAATGCTATCCCCATCTGACAAAGGGCTAATATCCAGAATCTACCAAGGAGCACAAACAAAGTTTACAATGAAAAAAACAAACCCCATCAACATGTGGGCGAAGGATATGAAACAGACACTCTCTCAAAAGAAGACATTTATGGCGCAGCCCAACAGACACATGAAAAAAGCTCATCATCACTGGTCATCAGAGAAATGCCAAATCAAAACCAACAATGAGATACCAATCTCACACCAGTTAGAATGGTGATCAATTAAAAAGTCAGGAACAACAGGTGTTGGAGAGGATGTGAAAAATAGGAAAACACTTTTACACTGTTGGTGGTGGAGTTGTAAACTAGATTTCACCCATTGTGGGAAAGACAGTGGGGCAATTCCTCAGGAATCTAGAACTAGAAAATACCATTTGACCCAGCCATCCCATTACTGGGTATATAGCCCAAAGGATTATAAATCAGCACTGCTGTAAAGAAACATGCACACGTATGGTTTATTGTGACATATTCACAATAGCAAAGACTTGGAACCAACCCAAATGTCCTACAGTGATAGACTGGATTAAGAAATGTGGCATGTATACACCATGGAATACTATGCAGCCATAAAAAAATGTGAGTTCGATTGTCCTTTGTAGGGACATGGATTGAAGCTGGGTAAACCATCATTTCTCAGCAAACTATTGCGAGGACAAAAAACCAAACACTGACCACTGCGGTGTTCTCACTCAT